CTCCCAAGGCTGTCTATATGTCCAATCTTATTTTCAATGAGCTCATTTCACAAAGTCTTATTGTTCTTGGATCTGACTCCCAGCCCCTCTCCACCCTTGCAATTGCTGCTGAAGGTGCTCACCTTTCACACCTTCTCCATTCACACCTCATTCATTTCAATAGGGCAATCAATGAAAAGGGAGAGATCTATTCTACTCCTAGAAAGACATTTTTCTTTACCTTAACTATTCCTAAGGCCTATAACATAAAGTGCTTGATACAAAGTTTCTATGGAAAAGACTGGATACAAGGTTTCTCTTAATACAAGGGATTCTATAAGAAGGCTTAACACAAAGATATATATAAAAGGACAAGATCTATCTAATCTATCTATATATAAAAGGACTTACAAAGTTTCTCTTAATCAAAGTTATATGAGAATGACACATGGTTATATGGAAAAGTTACAGAGATTTAGCCACACCTGCTGGCAGGTGACGGTGTCTGCCAGGTTGAGTCCATTGCACAGCCATGGCTGGTCCTGAAGCAGGGAATTGCTCCAACTCCTTGGGATCGGCCAAACCCAGCCTGCCTCCACCGGGCTCCCTCAAGATACACTTGCTTGGAGGGGCCCAGACACGTCCCCTTAATGTTCACCCCAGGCCCTCTCAAAGGCAGTGCTGCACAGCTCAGCAAGGTAACCAGCTCAGACATTTTTTTGCTGTTTTATTGAACGTTCTTCCCTGGTTTACAAGTGCAGGTCAATGGGCGATGAATTTCTTTTGGGCGGGTTGAAATTTCTTATATACATCATCAATATTGAGGCTTTATGTGGATGTGGAGGGTGTGCCAGTACAAACAAATAGCCTAGGTATAAATATATATTTTAAACAGTCCATAGGGATGGAAGACAATATATTAAAACAAGGGATAATTAACAAGGAGCAATGCTTAAGATATTTATTTAATATGAAATCAAATGAAGAAAACTAACACTACCCCTGGAGTACATTATTATTGTCCTAACAACTCAAGCTATCACCAAAATAGGGCATATTGCACATAGCTATATAAATAAATCAGACATAGTCATTAAGTAAAAGTCTAAAAAATATGCACAGCTTTAAGATGCTAAAACAAATCGAGTCAACTAGAAATAGTCATGCTCTCCTTTCCAGTGTTAATACGAGAGTGAAAGGCATTCACTCAGGCTTACACACTCTCTCTGGGAAATGTTTAGGATCCATGCTATCCAAATGAAACAGAGATCTGTAAAATAGATAAAAGTTCTACTTTGAAACTTTCACCTTGTGTGTGTGTCACTAACTCACAGAAGTCCCCAGAACACTTGTCCAGAATCCAACTCCAATTGAAAGGCCAAACAAATGGAACAGGATCCATGGTAAAGTTCTTCCAGTTTTAACAATTTACTATGTATTAACTAGTGACATAGGAGCTATAACAATAATTAAGATCAGAGTTTGCAGATATGGACAACACTAAAAAAATTATGTTAAAAGAATCCTTTCCTTTTCTTACCTTAAGCCATTAACACCTATGTAAACTTTGAAATGTAATCATGCAAATGTCACGAGCTTTTAACCCACCTGAAATTTTGGCACCACCCCGTACAGACTGCCCCAGGCCAGGAGAGATTCCTATGTCTGCAGCTCAACTGGCTCTTGCTGCCTGCAGTCCAGACAAGAGCAAATTAAGATACCCCAAACAAACTCCGCTCTGTCCCCCCGCTCATTGGACAGATGCTAGCACCCACTCACCCCCCTTTTTTCTCCACATACCCTCATGAAATCTACTCCTCCTCCTTCTCCCCAGCAAGTTCTACTCAGGAGAGAGACCTATTTATGGAGCCCAGCTATGGCTGCTGTGCTGAGACAGACAGGCTGCGTCTAGACTGGCAAGTTTTTCCGCAAAAGCAGCTGCTTTTGCAGAAAAACTTGCCAGCTGTCTACACTGGCCGCTTGAATTTCCGCAAGAACACTGAATTCCTACTGACTGAAATCAGTGCTTCTTGCGGAAATGCTATGCTGCTCCCGTTCGGGAAAAAGCCCTCTTGCCCAAATGCTTTTGCGCAAGAGGGCCAGTGTAGACAATGCGGTATTGTTTTGCGCAAAAAAGCCCCGATAGCAAAAATGGCGCTCGGGGCTTTCTTGCGCAAAACCGCGTCTAGATTGGCACAGACGCTTTTCCACAAAAAGTGGTTTTGCGGAAAAGCGTCCATGTCAAACTAGACGCTCTTTTCTGCAAATGCTTTTAACGGAAACCTCTGCTGTTGAGGAAGTGCCCCTTTCAGGCCAAGAAGCTCTCTGTGCAGCACCCCTAAACCTCTGGGCAGGGCTTAATTAGTAGCTGCACAGCTGCCCGGTTGTGCAGCTTGCAGGGAACTTAGAATAGGGCCCCAAAGAGGTTCACAGCCTCAGTGCATAGTCCTAACATGCATGTGGCGGAAAGAGGCTCTCAGCAAAGTGGGACCATGGGACCTGGCGCTGGGGCTCAGGCTTGTCTTCACTTCTTCCGCATCATAACATCTAACGTGTAAGGAGAGTCATCACACAGCTGGTGCTGGCAGGTAACCCCCCCTCCTTGGCAGCCACCCTCTACCCCAGGCAGGATAACTCAGGATCCAATCCCCACTCTCACCACCAGAGTGAACAGCCTGTCCCAAGCCCCACCAGGACACCCCAATCCTTACTTCTCATGGGAGCCAAGGGGATGACCCACCTCCAGGCACCCAAAAGTGGATTGGAGCCCATCCGCCACTACGCTCCCCTCTCACACCAAATCACAGAGGAAAGGGAAGTAGGGGCTGCAGCTGAGTCTGGGTCAGGTTGAACAGGGAATGAATTGGCCCTTATCCTCAGAGCCTATGCCTATTTAGACTGTGAAGGCCAAACTAGAGTTTGTTACTAAAAGAAATTCAGAGCAATGAAAAGGAATTCACTATAAAGGGAAGGGTTACATGGAAAACAACCTTCATTCTCTGGGGCCTGGGAAAGGGAATAAATCTGCTAGCTTCTTCCTCAGAGTTTATTTAGCTGTTTTACCTTTATCATAAAGACACCAAGGACAGAGGTAGGAAAGCTCTCCCCTGAGAGAGTGGCATTTGCTTTCATTCTTTTGCCTTTTACCACCTTTCACAGTGCAGGTTGGAGGGATGCATTTATTTGAAAGGAGTCTTGGCTGATGGGTATTTTCATTGTTTCCTTTCCCACTGGCTCATCCTGTGGTTGGCCTTGATAGCTGGGTTCTATGCAGTTGGTACCTCTTCTGCTTTTCTTCATACAAGGGGAAAAATAAGTTTGCCTGCTGAGATGTCATTCCTTTCAGAATCTTAGTGTCAGCAAAATAGGAACTTGGGTAAATCAGGCGAGGTGCAGTGAAGGTGGCCCACCTAACCTTAACACTACTCTTTTCCCAGTACTGCTTTAATAGGCTCTGTTACATACATGTATTTACTTTGCTAGCACCACATACGCACTTCACCTCCCTGAACAAGCCTTTAAATAAGAGTCCTGACATCAGCTGGACCAGGATGGGGCCCAGGGACAGGACACTGCAGCCACATGGGTGCTAGGCCCCAAGTAGGGTCTTGTTGGCCAGGCTGCCACAGCTGGAGCACAAGTTGGACCACCGCAGCTGGTCTGTTGCAGTAGTGGCATGGTCACCAAGGCTAGGCCACAGATTTTGCCCCATGAGCATGGCAGCCGGGGACTGACTGAGGCAGTTTGATGGGGGCTGGAGCCAGGGCTACCATGGCCAGGTGGAGGCATCTGCCACTGCCCGACCCTCTTACTATCCTGGCTGGGAGCACGCACACAGCCTCTACAGCGCTCCCTCAACTGGGCCTTTAAATGAGCAGAATGCTCTAAGCAGCTAGTTTTTACCCGGGATCATTGCCTTTCCATTACCTCTGTTTAAAGGAGAAATAGAAAAAATAAAAAAGACTATCTTGACATGAGTAATTATAAATTTTTATTTTTTTTTAAAAAATTTTAATTTGAAAAGTTGCATATATTTTGGAAATGACGAAAGAGACATATTTGGCTCAAGAACCATAAGTTGCTGACCTCTGATTGACATGAAGGATGCGTGCTGCTGTGGGATGAAGCTACAGGAAATTAAAGATGAAATCCCAGTGGATTTCCTGACCCCATTCCCACTTCATTCCAGTACAGCCACAAGAATATGAAAGGGATCTTAGACTCCTGTCACATTATTTCCAAGTTCATTGTGCTTTTGTTGTGGCAATTCTGCATCCTGCAAACATAGCTTGGGAGCCAGGAATGGATCCCAGAAATCACATTTGAGGAGTGACACACTATCACAACTTGCAACATGATAGAGACACACCACTCGCCTAATTCTACCTTGTGTCACTTGTAAGATGCCATGGGAAACAGTGGTTGTATGATTGGTGATAGAAATGTAGCCGTCTGGGGTAGCTGAAGCAAAATGCAGGACAATGTAGCACTTTAAAGGCTAACAAGATGGTTTATTAGATGATGAGCTTTCGTGGGCCAGACCCACTTCCTCAGATCAAATAGTGGAAGAAAGTGGTTGTATGATTGTAACTGTAAGCAGAACTTGGCCCTGTCCTTTGTTGAGGTATGTGCTAGAATCCCAGCTCCTTGGAACTTTTAAAACTAGATGGGACCATGCAATAGAAAACGTACTGCGGAGGGACACCCTCCACCTGCAGAGGGGGTAAGGCTGCATCACCTACCAGGGCTTTTGCATTTCTTTGACATCAAGAACGATTTGAAATGCTCAGCGCCCACCCAGCCCGTATTTCAAGGGACTGTCCCTTATTTCACTGCTTTGCCCCACAGGGTGCTCACCCGTCTCTTCGTTTCAGATGCAGTGACGCGGACCCGCAGCGACACTGTTACCCGATAAGGGGACCCGCGCTAGAGCAGCCCCCTAGCGCCCGCGGGCTCTGGGCAGCTTCAGCCCGAGCGGAGCCGAGTCCGAGCCATGGCGGCGCCCGCTCGGCTCCCGCCTCCCTCACGTGACAGCGCCGGGCCCGCGCCAGGCGCCGCGCTCCGAAGATGGAGGCCAGCGACAGCGAGGAGGAGGATCTGGCGAGTTATGGCACCTCCCTGGAGCCTCTGCTCGAGGGTAAGGGGGGTCCGGCTCCCCCGGCGGCATCTCCCTGAGGAGCCCGACTTACGCTGCGGGCGGGCGTTGAGCGAGGAGCCGCGTCTGCCCGCAGCGCTCTGCCCACATGGGGAGGCCGGAGGGGAGCCGCCTTGTAGCCAGACCCTGCGGGGCAGATCCCCGTCTCGGCAGCCGCCCAGCTAGGCCGCTCGTCCGGCTCCAGGCTGGCGAGACGAGCGCCTCTCCCTGCCGCCGCCTGCTCTGTGGCTCCCCAGGGGCCTGCCCTACGCGAGCGGCCCCGCTCTCCTCAGCCAAGCTCTTCCCGGGGGCGGTCCAGTAAACACGGCCAGGTTAAGAAGGGGCTGGGCGGGCAAATGCCAGTGAACCGAGGCTGCTGTGCTGCGGAGTGTTAATAGGGGGCGTAGAGGTGAAGAAACCTCTGGGTTTGGTCTGGTGGTTGGGGAGGCTTGATGTAGTAGTTGGTGCACAACGCAGTTGCGTCTATAGGGAAAAGGGGGTGGTACAGATCAGTGTTTCTCAACTTTTGTAATATATATATATATAAAGTACCCCTTTTTAAAAAAAGTATAAGTACCCCAAGTACCTACAGTTTTCAGGCACACAATTTTGTTTCTACCATTGCAACTCATTTGTTTAAACAATTTAATCATCGCCGGGCGGGCGATTAAATTTTTGGGTGTAAAAAGTACAAAAATAATTAAGCGCTGTAAAACTTAAAACAAAAATTCAGTTTTCTTCAAATTTCTGTTGTGTTGACGTACCCTCCAGACTTCTCTTGAGTACCCCTACGGGTACTTGTACCACTGGTTGGTACAAATGATAGACAAGAGCTGGCAAACATGCAACACAAGCAAACTGGAAGGGGAGCATGGGATTTCTTCTCTGATCTTTGTTACTAATTTCTAGATGCTTCTTTTAGCAGTAAGAGGTCCTCAGTTTTCGGACACAAATGCCATTAAGGCCTGGGATCTGCCCACAGATTTTGTACCAGTTTGGTTATGGTTGTGATTTTGTTTACTAAAATAGTGATACCAGTGCAACTCATAGTGGAAACACAGTTATGCTAATATAAAGATGCTTTATGTGAGTATAGATTATTTCTCTTCCTGTACAGGAATAAGTTAGATCACTCAGGATTACTTGTCTTTTAATAATGTCACTTCTCGGCCAAGTTGTCAAATGTCTGCTTAAATGGAATATCAAAAATCCTGGTACAGTTTTCACATTCTGAACAATTGAAGGCTTCAATTCTTAGTACATTCAGAGAAGTTCCAGCATTTCTGTAAGGTCTTGTTGGTGGTCAGATTGTTAAAAATAAAAGTATATTGTAGTTATAAAAGTTGACCCTTTTCACGTCTATACTCAGATAACCAAAAACATGTACATGGCTGACACAAGGCTTTTGCAAAAACAGAATTGTATTTCTCATAAATGTTGGAATAGGGCTGGAGTGCAGTAAACAATGAAAGTAAATGTATTTATTTAGATAAACTTAGAAAGCAATTTGTTACTGTAGAAGGTAGGCACAATGTACAGTAGATCTCTCCATGGTTTTTAGTGCATCGTACTCAAGGATGAAATACAAAGTGTTGCTCATTTTAATACTGTTTTCTATTGCCTTATAAGTAGGGTGATCAGATGTTCCATTTTTAAAGGGATAGTCCTATATTTAATAGGGATGGGGCTCATCCGTTAACACTCACTGTTAAATGCAGCCCCTCGCCTCCTCCGCTGCTGTCTCTATCAGAAGCAGCTTGAGGAAGCGGGAGCTGGTGCTTATGGGGAGCTGCTTGTCCTCCCCACCACCCCACTACTGCCTCCCACAGAGACAGCAGTTTGGGGTGAGGGGGGAAGGAAGGAGCTGGTTTAAAAGTGAGCGCCTGCCTTCCTGCGCTGCTGCTTCTGTGGCCTGCTCCCCCTCACATGTAAATGTGTAACCACTGAAAATGTCAGCAGTTACACTTTACACAAATAAACACCTTTTAACATCCTTGTATTTAATCCTTGTGCAGGTGTCCTGACTTTTTTCTTAAAAATAGGCACATTGTCCTGAAGTTTTTGTCTCCCTCCTCCCATAAGTGTCAGCGGGACCTACTCACCAGCTGCCTACCTACCAACAATGAGTGGCAGGTGGGTTTACTAGCTGATGATTGGGAGTAGGTGTACAAGCTGGTAGAAGGGCGAAGATGCAGTGTATGGGGCTGACTACCCTGCTGGTGCATCTGCCCAGCTCCCACTACATGCCAGCTCTCAGCCAGCAGAGTCCCACCCACATATCCGGTTTCCAGCCAGCAGTGGCGGTGCATTGCAGGCTGTGGTGGTTGGTGAGTGCAGGCAGGTTGCCACGTGGTGGCTGATTACATGTTGCCTCTTCCCATTGGCCTTTTACATGCTCTTCCTCTTGCTATCCTCTCCCTGTCTTTCCCGTTCATTCCTCCCCCACCTCCAATATCCCCTTTCCATGTGGAGTACCTCTCACTCCCAGAGCTGTGTGAAGAATCAGCTCCTGGTCAGAGTGCTGAGCTCACCAACAGTCTGGCTGGCATGCCCCTGCCTTCCTCCACTGCCTCTGTCTCAGCTAGCACCCCAGAAAAGTCCAAGACCCTCAGGCCGGTGGCTGGCCAAGAGGAGCTGAGCTGAGCATATGCCAAAGCCCTGTACAGCTCTAGCACAAGAGAGCCTCTCCACTCACAAATTTTGGGATTGTGGGGTAGCGAATCAATTTCCAGCTTGTTTCCATCCCAAACCTGCAGTCCCTTGGGCAGGGGCTTAGCCCCCTCTTCTTCTCTCTCTCCCCTATTCTGTGTTCTGCCCTCAGGGAGTGTGGGACTGTTCTGTCCCCTATGCACCGTCCCTGCTCAGCCACCTTTCTGACCAGGCTCTGTGATACTTGTAACCCCTGCAGTCAGATTCCCTGGGCCTTGGTGCACAATAGGTATTGTTGTTGGCCAGCTGCAGCTTGGAGGTGTTAGATGCTATTTAACACTATGTGAGGCAGGAAGGGATGAGCTCTGCAAAGACATGGAACATGTCATCCCTTCCCCTCTCCTCCTTTCCTGCGGCTAGGGCAGCTCCCATCCCATCTCTCCTGCATAGTGCTGAAAGGCTGCTGCTGGCCACATTTCTGCTGGTGTTAGTGCAGAAATCAAGAAGGAGGCATGTGACCTTAGTGATAGAAATGTAGCCATGTTAGTCTGGTATAGCTGAAACAAAAACCAGGACTATGAAGCACTTAAAAGACTAACAAGATGGTTTATTAGGTGATGAGCTTTCGTGGGCCAGATCCACTTCCTCAGATCAAATAGTAGAAGACCTTGTGTTCCTCATCCCCATATGTTGCCTTGGGAAGTCACAGTGCCAGGTAACATGACAAGAGGGTCCACTGGGAGCCCAGCCAGGCATGGAGGGTGGAGAGTTTATAAGTGGGGAGGATCAGATTTGTCGTTCACCCCCTGCTGTATGAGAGATGTATAGGAGTATGTGTGTTACCTCTGCCCACGTGAGCCCGAAAGTCTTAAATATATGAAGATAAATACTGTGTAGGTTGATTTTTTTTAATTTCTTTTTAATGGGATTCAGTCAACTTGATTATCAGTGTGAATGTTTGTACTGCATAGTTCTGATGGCTGTTGAACTCACTTGAATATGAGTAATTTTACAAGTTGTCCCATATTCAGAATAGGGAAATATGGTTACCCTATTTATAAGGGTCAGAGTCAATAATTTTCCTTTTATATCCAATTTCATAAAACTGCCCTGGAGGTGCATGTAAATAGGTATCCTGCTATCAAAAGCACAGAGACTCTATGTAACCAGAAGAGCATCTGCATGTGGGTACATGCACAGGACTGCTTGCCACATGAATGTTTAACCTTCATCTTATGTATTATATATGTACAATATTATATTTCAGTGGTAAATATTTGCCTAATATAGATTTCCACCCTTTGAAGGCCATGACAAAAGTTTTGGGGCCTTAGAGACCTATCTGATCCTGCAAACACTTAACTGGGACTTAATACTCACTACTGTGAGTAGTGTTGAAGTCAGTGGACAGTAAGCACTAAATAAAACATGTTTCAGTTATCTGTCCCTGAGATTATAAATCTCTTGGAGAAATGACAGTGTCTTACATGATTTTGTCAAGACATGCATACTTTTGGTTTTCAGTAAACAATACAGTAATGAGTTTACACACAACAAGTTTATATAAAAATATTATATATACACTTTAATATATATACACTTTAAAAGCGCTTATTATGCGAATCCCTCTGTTCCCTGGAAGTCGTCTTGTTAAAATGTAATTTCAGAACAGGCAATTGCACCACATATTTCAAGGTCCATGATTCTGTAATAGATTGCATGTTGGCAGAGGTCTGCACTTTCACAGAGCTTCCTTAACTCCGGTTAGGGTGATGGTGCTATTGGAAGTTTTTTGGTTTTGGGGCAGAATCATGCAATTGAGGTACTGGCCACTTAAAGATAAGCTTGGCTTTTGAAGATCCTGTTGACTGTTTGCAATGATAGTGTTCTTAGGTAACCTCTGTGTTGATTAATTTCCAAATTGGATAGTAACATTCTGCCTTCTAGATTCTTAGAGCTTCAGTTGGATATGATATTAATATTAGTAACACTTAGCACTTTTAATTTTCATAATATTTTACAAACACCCTCTTATGTAGATAAATAAGTACAGATTGAATTTCTGTGGTCTGGGAATCTCTGGTCTGGCAACATACAGGGTCTGACAGGACTACAGAAGTTGCTGACCTAGAGAATCCCAGTGGCAGAGGTTGCTGGCAGCTGGGAGCAGAGCCAGCCAGCAGGGGCAGCAGAGCCCAAAGCCTGTAGGGGCAATGCTCATGGCACCACAGAGCTGCTAGGGCTGATGGATATTATGGGGCAGCAGAACCTGCAACCAGTGGGACTGGTGGGGCCGCTGGAGCTTGTGGGGCCACTGGCAAGGGCAGGGCTGCTGCAACCAGGATGCCAGGGGATTGGTGCTAGGTGGCTGGGGAGAAGAGCCTAGCAGGGAGGCTGCCCGCCTCCCACATCTCCAATGGTCTGGCAAACTCCCTTGTCTGGGACCGGTCAGGTACCAAATGTACTGGACCAGGAAAGTCCAACCTGTATTATTCTTCCCATTATATAGATCAGGACATTAAGGAGACAGTTTATGGTTTGCTTCCTAGCCATAGAAATAATGGGTGTCAGAACTGGGATTAGGATTTAGGAATCCTTAACTATTTTAATTTTCTTATTCTTTCTCAGTTCTTGTTTTAAACTGTGGAGTTGTGAGAGTGCTGCTCTGAAACTGCTCTGTATGAAACCAGTCAGAACTCGAGGTAGTGTGCCTCCTTTCTCGGAGCACACTGTCACCAGAGCAAGAAGCTTTACATAGCCTTGACCTTCTTGGGCTTGACCTCAGAGCATTCAGCATCCCCTTCCATAGCATGCACTTCCACACCATGCACTTGGGTGGGGCTCCTGGAGAAGCGAGAAAGCACTGCCCCCCCAACTCTGCAGGAAGCAGACACTCAATCAGCATTGTAAAACTGATTTGCTTCCCGCTGCCTGGCCCCAGACCTCACCTGTGGCTGAGGGTCTGGCCTTTATCCTGCTTCCTGGGCTAAAGGTGTCACTGGTTGCATCCCCCTTCTGTAGCTCAGGTTATGGACATCAGACATTGTTTATGTGCAGAAAGCTGGGCCTCAGGAGAAGTCACATACCCAATTCCCATGACCATCTAGGCATTGGTGCAGTACCTAGGAAAACTGAGGTACACAGTATTTGTATCCAACGGTAAGACTCACATGCAATATGAGGTACATAAAACTGCACTTCATTACTACAGCATGTAGTGTTGACCTGCACAGTTGAACTGCTGTCGCTTTGCACTTCAGAGTTGGCTGCTATTCCTGTGGGGAACAAATGGTTGTTGAGAAGAGTGAAGATTTGATTCTTTTAACCGGGCTAATTCACTTTCCTTTGTATTTTTATAATTATAGGTCAACGAATTAAGAAGCCAGTTCCTCTTCAAGAGCAGACTGTTAAAGATGAAAAGGGACGATACAAACGTTTTCATGGAGCGTTTAGCGGTGGTTTCTCTGCTGGCTACTTCAACACTGTTGGTTCAAAAGAAGGTCAGAGATTGTATATGAAAGTCATTCTCGTGGAAAAGACTGCAATGCTACTTTATCAAAACACAACATTACTCTGTTTTGGGAAAACAAATGTAAATTGGCATTATATAATTTTTTCTGCTGATGTTCAGTGTTTAATACTTTTCTGTTAAAATGAACATTATTGAAGGTGCTTCCCTTGGAATGTTCTGCTTATGGATGCATCACATTATGTTGGCATGTCCTTCATGTGTTTCTAATTCATAGAATGTCAGAATGGCTACGTATACCATTTCCTTGCTGCATTCATACATTATATTAGAGTTTATTTTGATACATTTCTTAAAAATTTGCTTTCTTAAAAGGATGGGCACCTTCAACTTTTGTATCATCACGTCAGAAGAGAGCAGACAAAAGAGTCCTTGGACCAGAAGACTTTATGGACGAAGAGGTAAATTTACAAAAAGTTGTGGCAATATATGCAGTGATATATTGTTGCATGAATTATATAAATATGGATAATAGTCACTTTTATTATAGATAGCCTAATAAGAAATTTGTAAGAACGATTCATTTTAAATTTTCATGAAAAAAACTGATTAATTTTATCAGGGACAAGTGCATATTTGGTGATGGTGGGTTTTGCTTGCTTCTTAACTTGGAAATATTAGGATGTAAAATATGAGCATCTCGTTTTGATGGCAGACTAGTTTTGAGGGCTGATAGGTGTAGTTTTAAATGTTTGTAGGGAATTTAAACAAAATAGCATTTTCAAGAATCTAAATAAAATAATTTAGGCTACATCTACACTACAGGGTTTTTGCGCAAGAAGTCTTTTGCGGAAGGTTTCTTGCACAAAAACTTTATTGTGCAAAAGTGCGTCCACACCTCAAAGCGCATCGCTTTTGTGCGAGAGAGCATCCACACTGCATGGACACTCTTGCACAAGAAAGCTTTGATGACCAGTGATAGAATGACCATCAGAACACCTGTGGTTTTCCAGATAAGTTCTTTTTTGTGCAAGAAACCCCTGTGGAATGTCCACACGTGCCTTTTTGCGCAATTGCTGTAGCACAGAAAGGAGTTATTCTTCATAGAAGGAGGTATACTTACACTTCAAAAAACCCTCTGTTGTGTCGATTGACTGTAGATTTTATTGCACAAAAGCGTACTTGAGGTGTGGATGTTCTGTGTGTTTTTACGCAAAACCAGCCATTTTTCCGCAAAAACCTTGTAGTATAGACGTAGCCTTAATGTTTTACTTATTTTGTATCTATGATATGATAATTCTAACCAGTTTTATAATAAACCTTAAAATCTTCTGGGTAGGATCTATTTAAAACAAACAAAAAGCCTTACTAAACAGAAAGCAAACAAAACTTACTAGGTCTCCATCATAAAGAAGCAGATGTAATTGAAGACTGTGATTTGTGCTAGTGCTTAAGAGGAGGTAGGTGCTCATTTCCCATTGAAATGTAATTGGAGTTAGACATCTAACCTAGTCAAAATAAAGGGCATAAACCACATTTTGTCCTTGGAATATTTAATATTAATCTATATTTGAAGAAAAGTTATTTTGTAATTTTAATTTTTCCATTTTGTGTGTCTGTTTTTCAGGATCTTGGTGAATATGGGATAGCACCTAAAGAAATTACAACAACAGAAGACTTTGCTTCCAAACACAAAGATAGAATAAAAGAAAAAGCTAGGCAGATTGCAGAGGTAGCTTCATCCATTCCAGGAGCCACTGCACTGGGTGATTTAATTTCACCTGCAAAGTAAGTAGGTATAGCTCCCTCCTTCCCGAAACCAAAAACCTATGCTGTATTGGCAAGTAAAGGAATTTCTGACTGCTGCATTAAGTGCAAGTAACTGCAAAATATGTAAAATTACATTTTCAAAGATGTCTTCATCTGCCATCTTGTTTGGTACAAGCAAATTTTGTGCATAGTCATTTGCATTTCTGCATGCAAGGTACAAATACAAATGATATGTGCAGAATTGTGCTTATAGCAATTTTCTGTGAAAATTTGACCCATATTATGCAGGGGTGGGCAATAATTTTTGATGGGGGACCAGTCTAAGAATTTGGTAAGTGGTTAACGGATGCACTTTTCTGTGATATTAATGAAGGGGCTGTGGGGTCTGGGCAGTAGTTGGATACAGGAGGGAGCTCTGGATGGGTGATTAAATCAGTATCTTAGATGCCTATATACAAATGCGAGAAGTATGGGTAATAAGCAGGAAGAACTGGAATTGCTAACCAATAAATACAACTATGATATTATTGGTATTACAGAAACCTGGTGGGATGGGACGCATGATTGTAATGTTGTTATGGAAGGGTACGGCTTGCTCAGGAAGGACAGAGAGGGAAAAAAGGGAGGAGGGGTTGCCTTGTATATTAAAAATGTACACACTTGGACTGAAGTGGAGATGAACGTAGGAGATAGCTGTGTAGAGAGTCTCTGGGTTAAGCTAAAAGGGGTAAAAAATGAGGGTGATATCATGCTAGCAGTCTACTACAGGCCACCTAGCCAGGTGGAAGAGGTGGATGAGGCCTTTTTTAAACAATTAACAAAACTATCCAAAGCCCAGGATTTGGTGGTGATGGGGGCTTCAACTATCCAGACATATGTTGGGAAACTAACACAGCGAGGCACAGGCTATCCAATAAGTTTCTGGACTGCATTGGAGACAACTTTCTGTTTCAGAAGGTTGAAAAAGCTACCAGAGGAGAAGCTGTTCTGGATTTGGTTTTAACAAATAGGGAGGAACTAGTTGAGAACTTGAAAGTGGAAGACAGTATAGGGGACAGTGATCACGAAATAATAGAGTTCATGATCTTAAGGAAAGGTAGAAGGGAGACCAGCACAATTGAGGTAATGGATTTCAGGAAGGCAGATTTTGATAAGCTCAGAGAACTTGTAGGTAAGGTCCCATGGGAAGCAAGACTGAAGGGAAAAACAACTGAGGAGAGTTGGAAGTATTTCAAAGGGATGTTGTTAAGGGCCCAAAAGCAAACAATTCCGCTGTGTAGGAAAGATAGAAAATATGGCAAAAGATCAGCTTGGCTTAACAAGGAGATCTTGCACGATCTCAAAATAAAAAAGGAGTCATATAAAAAATGGAAACTAGGACAACTAACAAAGGATGAATATAGGCAAGCAACACGGGAATGCAGGGGCAAGATTAGAAAGGCAAAGGCACAAAATGAGATCAAACTAGCTACAGGCATAAAGGGAAACAAGAAGACCTTTTATAAATACATTAAAAGCAAGAGGAAGACCAAGGACAGGGTAGGCCCACTGCTTAGTGAGGAGGGAGAAGCAGTAACAGGAAACTTGGAAATGGCGGAGATGCTCAATGACTTCTTTGTTTCGGTCTTCACCGAGAAGTCTGGAGGTGTGCCTAACGTAGTGAATACAAGCAGAGAGAGGGTAAGTTTAGAAGATAGGATACACAAAGAGCAAGTTAAAAATCACTTAGGAAAGTTAGATGTCAGCAAGTCACCAGGTCCTGATGAAATGCATCCCAGGATACTCAAGGAGCTGATAGAGGAGGTATCTGAGCCTTTAGCTATGATCTTTGAAAAATCATGGCAGACAGGGGAGATTCCAGAAGACTGGAAAAGCGCAAATATTGTGCCCATCTATAAAAAGGGGAATAAGAACAACCCAGGAAACTATAGACCGGTCAGTTTAACGTCTGTCCCAGGGAAGATAATGGCGCAGGTAATTAAGGAAATCATATGCAAACACTTGGAAGGTAATAAAGTGATAGGGAATAGTCAGCATGGGTTTGTGAAGAACAAGTCATGCCAAACTAATCTGATAGCTTTCTTTGATAAGATAACGAGCCTTGTGGATAAGGGAGAAGCGGTGGATGTCATATACCTAGACTTTAGTAAGGCATTTGATACGGTCTCGCATGATACTCTTATTGATAAACTAGGCAAATATAACTTAGATAGGGCCACGATAAGGTGGGTGCATAATTGGCTGGAGAACCGTAGTCAGAGAGTTGTTGTTAACGGTTCTAAATCCTGCTGGAAAGGGATAACAAGTGGAGTTCCTCAAGGGTCTGTTTTGGAACCCGTACTGTTCAATATCTTCATCAATGATGTAGATATTGGGATAGAGAGTACGCTTATTAAGTTTGCAGATGATACCAAACTGGGTGGGGTTGTGACTTCTTTGGAGGATAGGGACATAATTCAAAATGACCTTAGCAAGTTAGAGAAATGGTCAGAGGTAAACAGGATGAGGTTTAATAAAGAGAAATGCAAAGTGCTCCACTTAGGAAGGAACAATCAGTTCCATACATACAAGATGGAAAGCGACTGTCTAGGAAGGAGCATGGCGGAAAGGGATCTAGGGGTCATAGTGGACCACAAGTTGAATATGAGTCAACAGTGTGATGCTGTTGCAAAAAAAGCAAATATGATTCTAGGTTGTATCAACAGGTGTGTTGTAAGCAAAACTCGTGAAGTCATTCTGCCGCTCTACTCTGCACTAGTTAGGCCTCAGCTGGAGTACTGTGTCCAGTTCTGGGCGTCACATTTCAAGAAAGATGTGGAGAAATTGGAAAGGGTACAGAGAAGAGCGACAAGAATGATTAAAGGTTTAGAGAACATGACCTATGAAGCCAGGCTTCATGAACTGGGCTTGTTTAGTTTGGAAAAAAGAAGATTAAGGGGGGGACATGATAGCGGTTTTCAAATATCTAAAAGGGTGTCACAAGGAGGAAGGAGAAAAATTGTTCCTCTTGGTTTCTGAGGACAGGACAAGGAGTAATGGGCTTAAAGTGCAGCAAGGGAGGTTTAGATTGGACATTAGGAAAAAATTCCTAACTGTCAGGGTGGTCAAATATTGGAATAAACTGCCAAGGGAGGTGGTGGAATCTCCCTTTGTGGAGATATTTAAGAACAGGTTAGATAGACATCTGTCAGGGATGGTGTAGGTGGAGCTTGGTCCTGCCTTGAGGGCGGGGGGCTGGACTCAATGACCTCTTGAGGTCCCTTCCAGTCCTATTATTCTATGATTAGGGAACAAGAGGAATGCAGGGTCGGGGAGGGAGTTATGAGAGAAGGGATGAAAGAAGGGATGCAGGGGGTTTGAGCTGTGACCTGGGGCAGGGAGTTGGCGTGTGAGAGCGAGTGGGTGCCAGGTGCAGGCTCTGGTTGGAAGGTGCTTATTGTAAGTGGCTCCTGGCCAGCAGCCCCCAATTTTATTTATAGCTTTAAGGAGCTTCATCATGAATACTTTAAAAGTAGACTGTCAACATAAATGTTTTGTTAATTTCTCTTAGAATAACTATTGGTGTTGAACTGTTGCGAAAAATGGGCTGGAAAGAAGGACAAGGCGTTGGACCTCGAGTAAAGAGAAAGCCTCGCAAACAAAAATCTGGTATGTTCAATGAAGTTTTGAGTAATGGAAAATAAATTTCTAATCTTCTCTGATATCGAGAAGCTGTTTTGAAAACTTCAATTTGCTTTTTTTTTAAATTTTAACTAAGAGAAACTTACTAAAGAATTGGAACTTCATAATATGGTGCTGTTATGTCTTTATAGATCCTGAAGTAAAAGTGTATGGCTGTGCACTACCACCTGATGGATCTGAGGTATTATGCAGGCAAAAGTTACTGTTTTTTATATAAAAATATAACTTTATATATATCTTTATCTATATACACACACTAGAACACAAACCTGGTGTTGATCTAGTCCTTAACTCAGTTTTTGAATTTTGGAAAATAAAATGAAAATGTATGTGTTTTATTTAAATCATTGTTCTGAGATGGGGCTGTAGATGAGGGGTTCAGCATGCAGGCTGTCCTGGGGAGAGAAGGCTACTCCAACCCTATCTCTTACCACAGCAGCTTCAGTCCAGGTGAGCAGTGCTTTACCCTAGCCACTGCAGTTCCAGTGGACCCAGTGCGTTGCCCCCTTTTTTCCCCCAGCTGGGAGGATAGACAAGAAAACAGACAAGCATATAAGCTATCTTGTATAGATAGCCGTCCCTTTCTCTATGCTTGCCCTGTGGTATCCCAATGGGGTTAGAGCTGTCTTTGGCCCCTTGCTGCCCCTCTGTGGTTGTTACACAGGATAGCTGTCCTTAGGAGCAGAACCCTTTCCTGGTTATGAGAAACAGTCGCATTTCAGGCACATCCCATTATCCTGGCACAACCAAACCTTTGCTTTGCTTTAAGTTGTGATAAAAGGAAGCTACATATCAAATTTGGTGGTCCTAGCTCTTCCTATTTGGGAAGAATTCTTGAACAGATAGACTCTCTCTATATATTTGAGGTTGTCTGTCTGTAAGCAAGTGATTGAGTCTAACACAAAAAAACTCCAACTATTATATAACTAGACTACTAATATTTGTAATGTTGGTCCCAGGATATTAGAGATGGGCAATGTAATATTTTTTTTATTGGATCAAGTTCCGTTGGTGAAAATGACATGCTTTTGAGCTATACAGAGCTCTGCTTCTGAATGCTAATGGTTGGTTAATGTAAACCTAGAACAGCTCATTTTGTTAGGCATATGCAGTGACATTACTATGTATATAAAGAATTTTTAAACTCTTTCAGAATTGGACTTCATTTAGCTAAATGTTATGGGACTTGCATTTTTATATTGTTCTACAGTGTTTAATGCTTCTTTATTGTAATGTACTTTAACTTTGTAAAAGGATGAAGAGGATGAATATCAGCCAGAGAATGTTACGTTTGCACCCAAAGATGTAATGCCAGTAGATTTGACTCCTAAAGAGAATGTCCATGGACTTGGATACAAAGGTTTAGATCCCACCAAAGCATTGTTTGGGGTTTCAGGAGGAGGAGATTTCAGTCTTTTTACTGATGGTTCTGAAAATACAAGTAATCTGCTTGGTGATCTGAGACCTAGTAAAGGAAGAAAACTTGGAATCTCAGGCCAGGTAAAACATTACTGTATGTATTGTGTTGCAATGTCAGTTATAGGAAATAAATGTTTGTTTTAAAATCTCTCAAATTAGAATTGAAACAGTTTTAAAGCAAATTTAAAATACTGTTTCTATTATTAAAAAGAATACTTGGTGTTTCTCTGTTTCAATCTCTTTGAGAATCAGAGAGAGTATGAATTAAATCTTACAATATTTTGTGATGCAGAATAGTCATTTTATACCAAATTAGAGTTGGGAAAAACTAAGGCACAGAGAGGTAAAATGATTTGATCAAACACCAATAAATATGGTTAACCTGAATCTTGAATTTAGTATATATTGGTTGAAAGAAGTAAGATTTGGTTCCAATTAGATTATGCATGACATTCCAAAATTAAATTGTGATAGAAATGTAGCCGTGTTAGTCTGGTGTAGCTGGAACAAAAAACAGGACTATGTAGCACTTTAAAGACTAACAAGATAGTTTAGTAAGTGATGAGCTTTCATGGGCCAGACCCAAATTGTGAGAGTGGAATAAAACAAACCTCTCTTGCGGTCTCGCTGTCTCTCAGTACGCTTAATATTGCAGTAGAATCTGTAAGGGCCAAATGCATATCCGGCAACTACCTAGTCCATATCAGGTAACACTTCTGGTTAAAGCAATAGCATTTTTTTCTATAAATACAGATATTTCTTTTTTTCTGTTATGAGAATATGGGATAATGCTAGAACAACAGAAACTACCTTATCAATGTGAAGCAATGCTTTCATTAAATGATCCCTTTTATAAGGTAGTGTCATACTTTTTCTACTCTTTCTGGCTTTTTGGAAAATAAAATGTAGATAATTGATTTTTATTTCTTCTTGACGCCTGATCAAGATGGAAAATACTCAGAAACTGTAGAGTGATTGCAAGAAAGTTTATGTGGTTTGAAAAAAGGCCTGGGAGGCAGGCTACCTTGCTTCTTTTCCCATTGCTACAGTAACTTACTATGAAGCCATGGCTGAGTCCCTAAAAGCTTCTATATGGTGTAGCAAATTCATTGATGTAATGTAATAATATGATGAGTACAGTTTAAGTACAAATTAATGCTGTATTTCTTTAGTTGGAGTAAAATGAGCTTTTCATGATACAAAGATGTTTAATTTTTGGCCATTTCTTTCCCATGTTAGGTTCTGTCAGCCACATTCAGTTGCCTTTTAGCATTATGCCTGTGATTCATGTTTTCACACAGAACATTGTCAAGTTATGTGATTTTAGGGGAAAAAAGAAATATGGTCAAATATGACTGTATTTATTCCCATTGCATTATTCTCTTTGAAGGCTTCTTTCCAGTAATTTATTTTTTTCCTTGAGAGCTAAACTAGTACCTTTGTTATTCAAATGCCAGGATATATTCTTCAGTATGAATAAGACTGCCAATTATAAGCCAGACACGCCCCTAACATATAGTAGTCCCATTCCCTTTCTGCTTAAGGACACATTTGCTGTTTTGATCATTGGTCTCTCATTTGGCAGGGTATAATGGAAAGTAGGGATAGTAAACTGCATTCAATTGTGTAAATTTCAGCAGTCGGCTCCTTGGAAGCCGGTGCGCCTTCCCGGCTATCCCTCTACCTTCCCTGCCTCCCTACACACTGCTGCCTCTACCTGGGCTCATTGGTTAACCATGTACACAGTTACACTTCACATCCCTAATGGAAAGCTATCAAACTTGTCCCAAACATGTAATTTTAATGTTAGACAAAATTTACATATTGTGACATGTTACCTTTTCAAGGGAAAAAATTCTACTGTGTCAAAATATAACCATTTTAAATTGAAAACTTTTTTTTTCTAGGCTTTTGGTGTAGGAGCTATGGAAGAAGAAGATGAAGATATATATGCTACTGAAACACTGTCAAAATACGATACAGTTCTGAAAGATGAGGAACCTGGAGATTGCCTGTATGGTTGGACTGCACCAAAGCAGTATAAAAACAAGAAAGGTAAGAATTTTATATCTGAAATTTCAGTATATTTGTATTTAAAATACTGTAGATGAGGATGCTAATCTCTTTTTCAAGTATGTTCATTTATAAAGGATTGATACTTTAGCCTTGAGATTTCAACATTTCACCTATTCCCCTCCATTCCTGTTAATAGTAGTTCAAAAGCAGATTAAATGAAAACTTCTTTTTTCTTCAGTTTAATTTATTTGAAGACATTTTTTGTGCTGGTGCAGGAAAAAAGTGAAAAGCAGCCACTGCTATAAAAATACAGATCACCATTAAAAGAACTTATTCCAAAGTTGTCTGTGGCCTAAGTATAAAATATTATATGGAAAAAATATTAACTATCAAGATTGCAAAGAAAAACATTCAAAAGTTAGAAAATGTCAGTATGAAAATTTCCAGCACAATTGATCTAAAACTACATTAGCATTAAACAGCTCTAAATTACCATGAAAGAGGGCTGCTGTAGGAGGAAAATAATTACCACTAACAGTAGCAATAGTTCATGAGTAACATTAATGAACAGTAGCAATAGTTCATGAGTAACATTAATGGTTATTGTTGAAAATCTCAGAAATACTGTGTGTGTGTGTGTGTGTGTGTGTGTGTGTGTGTGTGTGTGTGAGCTCGCACGCGCACTAGGTTAAAAGTAATACTAGGCCTTGATTAAGACTGTTGAATAAGTTTTATGTCAGAAAAGATGCATTGATATTTACAAATGCTTCAGTAATTTACTTGCAAACACATGGCGTGATTTTGCACCCCATACTAATCTATCTATCTATCTATAGCTATACTATTTAAAAAAAAAGGAGAGGCATCTATCACGCCGTTTGTCACAGAGAACAGAGTTCTTGTGAGACTTCTCTGCCTCTGGTGGGTCCGGAGGCGCTGGGCAGAGAAAGGGGAAGGTGCAGCATAGACGCTTTGTGTGCCTTTCGCTTTCCCGCCAAGTTGCCAGAGACAAACCAGCCGCTGCCAGGTAATGGCGTGTATCCCTCCCTGGCAGTGGAACCCACACGCCATTCCCGGATTGTGGCGCAGCCCGTCTCACCCACCCTGAGTGCGCAGGCACCTGGGCAGGGCTGTTCTGCCACACGGCCAGTGAACTCAAGGGAGACTCGCACAGAAGTGGTGTCCGAGAAGCCCTTCTCCCGAACAGCAGCCAGAATCCAGCTGCTCCCCTGGCACGAGCCTGGGCCCTATTAAATCCCTGAGTCAGCCCCTCGGTACTGCCCCGTGTTTGCAAACCTGGCCCTGAAATACCTCTCCCTCCCCCACTGTGACCCTCAAATCTTCCTTCCTCAGACTGGTTCAGCTAAGTTAGTGGGCCCATGGGCCGAGTGTGGGATGGAGGCCGCATCTTGCCAGGAACACAGGGAGTCCAGCCAGCAGATATGGGTAAGCTGGCCAGGATCCAGCCTGCCAGCACCAGGATGACAGACTCCAACAGCCCCAGAGTGCTTTCCTGCAGGTGTGAGTGCATGGCACGCACGGGCAGCACAAGGTGGGGCAGAGCAAGGCCATGGCAGCAGCAGGTTCTTCATGGGCAGGATGGTGACCAGGTCTGCTTTTACCCCCCTTGCACCAGGCCAACCTGAGTGTATGTCTGCCCTCACAACAGGATGGGTAATGCTAATATGGATAATTTTGGAGATTTGAGTGGGGATGTTCACATAAAGCAGCACTTGGTAAAGTACTATCTTTGGATTGAATTTAATGCATGTGTATAAACTTGAATTTTTCCATTTTTTTTCACCAATTTTTCCACCAATATGCATAGTGTATAGCCAGTCTCAAGTGTGGAGGCATCAGTAGATTCTGAATGAGTTAGGGATGCCTAAGGGATTGTTGCTTAGCAAAATTTTTGCAGGACATGTAAGTTAGCAGTAACCGTGCATACTGTGTTTGTATTAAACCATGCATAGTAGTATTGTGCTGATTTGTTTGAAAGTTGAGGAAAACCAAGGATTTTTAAAAAGGAATTTTTAAAAACGTCAGGATATACTAGTTAAAAGATGCTGTATCAGAAAATAAAATCTTATGAAATTATTTAATTAAAGTTGAATATTTCTGTCTATGAAGTTAATTCCATAGTTGAATTAGGACTTTGAAAGTCCTAACTAATACTGTCATCATTTTATAGAAGTGGAGAAAGAAGTTAGATATATTGGCAAAATTCTCGATGGCTTTTGCTTGGCTTCTAAATCATCGGCTCCAAAGAAGGTAAATGAAACATAAAATGTTTCCTCTTAGCAAAAACAGCTCTTACAATTTTGCCATCTTTATGTCTTTAAATATGGACAATAAGTAATCACTTATATTAGGTATGTAATAGTGTATTTGATTAACCGATAGGCAAAAACTTGTAGGTTAATGCTATAGACTGCATGCATTTTCCCCCTCTGCCCCGTTAGCACATTTTTTTGCAGGGTGGCCAGCAGCGTGTCTCAGTTCTGGCTTGTGACGGATCCAGGACCTGCCCCCGCTCCAGCTCTATATTTAAAGTGTTATTAGGAAATAGGCAGGCAAGCAGCCCGGCTTAGTTCCAGCTCACTCTGTCCAGGAACTCAGACACACACACACCCTGCCCCAGACAGTGGCTGCTGCCACCCCTGTATCAGAGGCAGCAGCATGGGGTTACAGGCAGCTGGTCCATGAGGGAACCTGGTTTTTAAATTGTCTCCCCTAGTGGACCAGCTGCTTCCTGACACCCTGTGCTGCCGCCTCTGATAAGTGGCAGCAGCGCGGAGTGGCAGGGAACTCCTCAATAGTGGGGACAGAATACATTGGCTGCTGGGCCCACCCCGGGGGACTATAGAATAGTCAAGTAAACAGTAAGAATTCATGAGATTACTCAACTGTTCAATTAACCGATATTTAACATTCCTGACTCCTCATATATATAAAAGCCCAACGTCTGTGGCTCTATAACGCTGTAATACCTCTGTAACACTGTAACGTTTTCTGTTGCCTCTGGGCGGCGTCACAGAATTGATCAGTAGACAGAGCGGAGCACTGAGCGCCGTGTGACGGGGCAGGATCGTCCCGCGGCAGTGAGAGCGATCCACCCTGCACTCAAGTGGCACCGACCCCCATGCTGCATGGAGACCGCAGAGCCCAAACGGCCGTTTGCGCCGCTTGCTCCCACGTGGCAGCCCGGCTGAGTGGCACAGAAGTCAGCCGAGCGCCACAGCGGGAGGTGAAGAGGGGTTGGGTGGTGATGTACCGGGGGCGGGGCCTGGACAAACATGTGTCTCTGACGTCAGGAAAGGGTGCCAGATTCAAAAGGAGGAGAGCGGAGGAGACAGAGGAGAGCGGAGGAGTGAGAGCGAGAGGCAGGAGGGGGAGAAGAGAAAGAGAGAGACAGAGAAAGAGGCAGGAGGCAGAGGAGAGCTGAGAGAGAGAGGGGGAGACAGGAGGAGGAGGGGAGAGAGAGAGAGAGACTAGAGGCTCAGGAGAGAAGACTGAGATAGAAAGAGAATAGGACGTGGAGGAGAGACCCGAGGGCAGGGCGAAGAGGTGGGGCAGGGATACTCGAGCCCCACCAAGACACACACATCTTATGATTTCCAGGTTCCTTGCAAAATCCCGTCTTATGACGGGCTATTGGCTAGTATGTCAATAATAATCAAACTTATCAAGGAAAGATGTAAGCATGTCTAAAATAGATCCAAAGAGTGATATGCAATTTGACAGAGCTTCTTGGTTATTACTGTATTCTAGTGCGTTCATAATGTGTCTTTTAAGAAAAATAAGTGTTGATAAGCAGCAGAGATGTCCTAACTAGTAAAAACAATAGGTTTTCAGGCTGATAATACAAACTTGAAATATGTCCATCCACTACAAGTTGCACCTCTGAAGACTGGCACTCTCTGGTCTGGTAATATCCATGGTCTGTCTGGATGCTCCTGAACTAGAGAGCCTGGGAGCCTAATGGCAGGAGGGCCAGCAGTCTGGCTGGGGCTGGAGGCAGCGTGGCCAGAACACCACAGCAGTGCAGTGACCATGACTTCTCAAATACACTCATAGTGGCAAATTTGTTTTAATACTAATTTTATTATTTAAGTACAAGATATATTGTTGTAAATATAAGGTGGACTAAAATTCAAGCGTAATATGAATTTTTTTGTGACAGTAATCTTTTCTGAAATAGGGAAAAAATCATTTAGTATACTTTAGCATAAGCAGGTATTGGGATGTCTCATTTAAGAGCTATAGAAACAGAATTTCAGTGGAGGATGCTGAGGTAATTTAGAAGTTTAGGTAAACAATTTAACTTTTAAAATTTGAAGTTGCATGTAATTCCCCCTGGAAGGATGATGAATTCTTATATAATATCCAAGGTATTTTCTGAAATAATTAAAAAAAAATCCAGTTCTTGATTTTTCTGTTATGCTACAGTATAATTTTAGACACTGACAATTCACTATTTTTCAAGTTTCAGATGTTTCTGTTTTTATTACAACAGCATTTATTTATTGACTCTAATTGGGCCTGTCCAGTTTGTTTTATAGCTTGTTTTTCTATTGTTAAAATTTACAAATTAAACTGATAGACTATACGGTTCAGGCTTGCAGAAAAAGACGAAGGGTATGTCTACACTACCCTCCTAGTTCGAACTAGGAGGGTAGTGTAGACATACCCTTGGAGAGGCAAGAAGATACATCTATATCCCAGGATTTGTACAGAGAAAGAAGACACCTTATTTGAGTTTATCAGAGCCCGCAAGTAATCGCTAAAGGGTACAGACGCATCTTTGCCAAATAGCAGTAAAATTAAAGCAAGTTTAATTGAAATGAATCCATCAGTCAATTACTGCATTTCCTTTTTAAAGCCTTTTTTCCTATAGTCTTAAGTACAGTTATCGTCTATCTATTTTTCATTAGTAAAAAGCAAATGACCACAGCTAGGACTGCATGAAGAAATGAGATCTCTTCTTCCTGCATGTGAAAAAGCATGTTACCTACGTAAGAACAAAGCGAAGGAGATAGATCCTCCAAATTCTGCCCTGTGGTTTTAGTGATGGGCATCTCATCTGTTAATACAAATATGAAACTACATCTCTCACTGTGTTTTCTGTTTGTTTTGGAAGACTTACCTACCACCTGAGTTGCCAAGGGATTACAGACCAGTCCATTACTTTCGGCCAGTGATAACAGCTAGAAACGAAAACCCATTTTTACTTCAGGCATTAGTTGAATCAACTGGGAAGCTTGAGACTGATACTCCACAGGAAAGCAGACACACACTGAATGCATCTCAGAGGAGGGAATTGCTAGGAGAGACTGCTCTGGAAGGTATGTGATGGGGTGTTCTTGTTTTGTTAAAATTTACATTCAGTGAACACCGAATAGAGTACTAGTTTATCCTCGTAATATTTTTAGCATACGGAATACTTGTTTATAAACTCAAATATTTATGATCTTGAATATGTATTTTCTAACTTAATAAAAACTAAACTCATCCTCTATGCTAGCCAGCATATTGGCCAGTGTGTTCCCTGTGTTAATTACTGGGGATACCTACAAGCGTGTTTCAGTTCCTTACACTTTTTAATTTTAATTAATGTATGTGAAAATATTTCATTTTTTTGCATCCAGAAAGCCTTTATTTATTTTAAAACTTCTGCTTGGGTGGGTTTTTTTAACTTTAGAAATTCAGATCTTGTATAGCCTATAAGATTTGATAGCTCTCTAGATGCTAGTTAGAGACTGGAGAAGATAGTAAATAAAAGGAAAAGGGAATGTTAAACTTCTTAACAAAATTAACACTTATTTTAAGGTCAACCAGTGAAGGACACTAGAGAGAGAATATATATTATTAATTGCCTTTCCCTTCAGTTAAGTTGAGAGGCTACAATATTCATGCAGGGTGGATTGATTTAAATTTGTGATTGTTAATCTTTAAATCAGGTAATCATTAATAAAATCATCTATTTTTGTTTTTGTTTTGTTTTGTATTTGTACATTTGATTTATTACCCTAAAGAAAGGTTGGTTCTCATTAGTTGGTAACCATTAAAATATATTGATTTGTAATTAAATACAGCCTTTGTACTAATTTTGGTCTTTTTTTGCTAACCAAAAATACTCTATACACACTTATTTAAGCAAGTATATCACTTAACTTACATTTATTCAGATTTTTAATTTTTAAATGTACATTATTTAGAAAATTATCAATGCGTTTCTTTACAAGATACTTTTTTACTTGATTTGTGTCAAACTGTTTGAATAGGAAATCAATTAAAATGCACAAAACAATCATTTTTAGTTTTATTAGATAAATTTAAATCATCACATGTATTAGATACATAAGAAAAGCAAGTCTTAGTTTTTCAAAATGTGTTTTGCATTTAAAACCAATTTATTAAACAAAGGAAGTATGTATTATATGTAGTTGCTAAACTCGCTGCTTTTCATCAACATGTCCTTCAGGATTTTAGAACTAAAAGGCCGCATTCTCTCACCAAGTTTTATTCATAGTTTTTGGAAGACTTCTTTTTTGTCTTAAAAAAAAAAAACCCAAAGCCCCCCAAAAAATCCTCCAGTTGTCTTTTTTTTTTAAACTATGAGAGAATTGGTGATTGAATTGAATTAGTTGAATAAACTGAGACAAAGAAATATAATTTATTGGCATACAGAAGCTACTTTTGCCAGAAGCTGATTTAGCACTTGAACACTCTTATTCCAGATGCTTAGCCAATGACTTCCTGCCAGTGCTGTGAATTGACTTTCTTTAAAACTCAGCAGCATGTACTGCTTAATATTTAATTTTATCTAAACTGTTTTAAACAATAATAAGTTTAGGCCTTAACATAGCAGTCATCATTTCAGATTTTAAAAAAATAAACCTTATTTTATTTAAATAAAATCTGAATTATAATAATAAACTCCTGATATTTTTTTCTTTAAATGATAGATTTTTATCCACCCTGCTCTGAAACACCCCCAGAAGAAGGGGTCCCCGCAAAACCTGGAAAGGTCAGACTTCACTTCTCTCAGTAAAAAAATAAGTAGAAAGCTTCCTTTTTTCTTTAGCCTTTCAGGCCTTGTCCACAAATCATAAATAAACAAAACATTGCACAAAGCTGATTTAACAAAATATTCATTGCAGGTTACACTTAAATAGCTAAGACAAATTAACTTTGTAGTATAATAATGCTATTTCATTGTCTTTAAAAGCATTCCATCTGGCAAAGCTCCATTGCATGGCCTTTAACTTTGACTCGTGAGCACTGGAGATAGACTCTGAACTAAATACCATATATAGTATGGTCCGGCATCTGATAGTCCGGCACCATCAGGAACCCGGAAGTGCTCCGGGCAGCCGGACCATTGGAGCTGCTCTGCCCCCGGCCTTCCCCCGCCACCAGTGGCGGGAGCGGAAGGGCCAGGGCAGAGCGGCTGGAGTGCTGCCGGTAGGTCCCGTAGCGCTGCCCCTCGGCAGTTGGTGTCTGAAAGTTGGTGTCTGAAGAAACATACACAAGTTTTAGTAGATTTGTTTTAATGTAATCTAACACACAACCTGCTGTAATAACTGAAAAAAATATGTATTCACATACCTTCAAATTTATAATGGGAGCGGAAGGGCCAGGGCAGAGCGGCTGGAGTGCTGCCGGTAGGTCCCGTAGCGCTGCCCCTCGGCAGTTGGTGTCTGAAAGTTGGTGTCTGAAGAAACATACACAAGTTTTAGTAGATTTGTTTTAATGTAATCTAACACACAACCTGCTGTAATAACTGAAAAAAATATGTATTCACATACCTTCAAATTTATAATCCATGTTTTAATGGCTCATGTCATTCTAATGCACTTATTTAAAATCTTAAGACCCTTCAAACTTGGAATCAGTTGTAGCTGCTCCTTCATTGTCATTGTAGACATCAGCAATGTCATCTTCATACTCAGATTCCTTATAAGCCTCCATTGTGTCATCAGCAAGTATGGCGTCATCTTCTGATCCATTAAGTGGCCTGGGGAGCGCAGGGTGGTAGTTTGAGTCCTGCCTCTCTCCACCCACCTTTGGAGTGACCAAACCGCCAACACAGGATATGGGATGTCCTGGAGGGAGGTGGGGTGGGTTATGGAGTGGCTTAGGGGTTAGGGCATTTGCTTGTAGAGTGCAGGGTGGCGGGCTCGAGTCCCACCTATTCCCTTGGTAGCTCAAGTTCTCCCCCCTACCCACTCACCTTGGGAGTGACCAAACAGCCAACACAGGTAGGGAGGTGGGGTGGGTTCCATCCAGCATAACTTTTCTATCATTTCCAAGGGAATGGACTCCCACGCATCCTCGACCTACTGGGCAACCAGATTGATTTTGGGCTTCATAAGATTCCTGCCTTTTGTCAACTTCATCATGCCTGAGCACATCCAGTCAGACCACATTTTGTGTAGCCTGTCCTTAAAGGGTTTGTTCAGGCAGACCTCAAGTGGTTGTAGAACAGAAGTTAAGCCTTCAGGTATTACTCTAAAGTAGTTTTCAATTTTTTGGCCACATGTTTCACCATGTGAAACATCAGTCCTGTGTGCCCTGAACTTGTCCCAAACAAGCAAAGAAGGTTTCTTGGGAAGTGCTCCTGGTCTCTTATTTCACACTTTTTCCAGCCATTCAGTAGTCCCACTTTCATCCAAACATCCATCCCTTGTCATGTGCATGCCCAATGACACCCCCTGGAAATTTCATGGTTTTAGGTAAAGTTTTTCTTTTCAAAATAACAGGATGGAGCTTTGATCCATCAGCCAAACATGATAAAACCACTGTAAGATGGATTTTTTTTCATGGCCATTGGTTTTAATTAAAACTGTTTTTTTACCAACACCATTTACTGTTGCTCAGGAGATCAAATGTCATTGGTGTTTCATCCATATTTCCTATTGGTGACAGCTCAAATGCACATTCCTTTCAATGTTTTATAATAAACCTTTGGAAAGGTTCAATTTTTCTTCAAGGTCTCTTGGCAGCTTTTGTGCTGTCTTTGGCAGTGAACAAAGATAGAGACGGTGATAGTTCATGAAGTACGTACGTCAACCTGCTGATGCAACAAACATTGATAGCTTTTCTGACTTGTATTTGTCGTCTTTTGGCATTTGCAAATCATACAGACAAATTCCAGTTCCAGTCAGAAGGTACCTATTTTGTTGACATTCAACAACGCAATCAATGAAATCTTTCTGCAGTTGAGAAAATGAAATGTACCTTGTTGGACTTTTTTTCTTGCTTCTTGACATATCTTTAGTGTTGCTTTATTTTTTTCACCATTCCCTTACTTGCTTCTCATGGACGCAGAATTCACAAGGAGCTGCACAATTATTGTTTGCTTCTGCATATTCAACAACTTTAGTTTAAATGCTGCATCATAAGCAGACCGTTTTCTTTTTATTTCACCATTGTTCATTCTAAATTTTAGAAAATAATGTATAGATTTTGTAGAACTTTATAGAGGAATGTCACATGCTTTGTCACTATCAAATTATAATTGTTCATTGTTTATTTCAAAGAAGCCCTGCAGATTGATTGGCATGTCTAGGGCAGTGTTTCTGAAAGTGGTTCCATGGAATCACTTTCAGAAACACATTAACTGGCCGCCCCAGTTTGTTTATTTACCAGCACCACAGCCACAAAGCCTCGTGGCTCCCATTGACTCCGTTTTGCCCTTTGCATCCAAGGGGAGCTGCAGGAAGTGGCTTGGGCCGGCCGGGCCACCACTTCCCGCTACTCCACTTTGCTGTGAAGAGAGAAATGGAGCCAATGGGAGCCATTAGGCTCTGTGGCCACGGCACCGGTAAATAAACAAACCAGGGCAGCCAGTTAATGTGTTTCTGAAAGTGATTCCATGGAACCACTTTCAGAAACACTGGTCTAGGGTGATAACAGGCTATTTAAATTTTATTAAAGATTTCAGGTCTGCACATTATATTTTCAGATTGCCTAGAGACTTAGGAGGTTCAGTGATCAACGTGCATGAAGACCTTAAATTACTCATAGCAGACTGACACCAGTGCCATAGTACTATCATTCATTGGGTTTTTTTTTATTGTCTTGTAATGTCTAGCACTTTGTGAAGTGGAAGAGTCAAATTTCATGTGGATACAATTTAAATAAAGATAAAATCTTAGCACTTTAAAAAAAAAAAAAAAAGCAAGTCCTGAACTGCGTCTACAACAGGGGTCAGCAAATTTTGGCTCCCAGCCTGTTAGGGTGCGTCTAGACTGGTAAGATTTTATGCAAAAGCAATTGCTTTTGCGCAAAAACTTGCCAGTTGTCTACACTGGCCGCTTGAATTTGCGCAAGAGCACTGACTTTGTAATGTACAAAATCAGTGCTTCTTGCGCAAATACTTTGACGTTCTCGCTCGAGGGAAAAAGCCCACTTGCGCAAGAATACTTGCTCAAGAGGGCCAGTGTAGACAGGGAAGAACTGTTTTGCGCAAAAAAGCCCCGATGGCTAAAATGGCGATCAGGGCTTTCTTGCGCAAAATTGCGTCTAGACTGGCCACGGATGCTTTTGCGCAAAAGCATCCATGCCAATTTAGACGCGCTTTTGCAGAAATACTTTTAATGGAAAAACTTTTCCGTTAAAAGTATTTCCGCAAAATCATTCCAGGTCTAGACGCAGCCTTAGGGTAAGCCGCTGACACGTTGGGAGATTTGTTTGCTTTGTGATGGCTGCAGGCATGGAGCCTCTCAGCTCCCCTTGACTGAGAACTGCAAACAGCAGCCAAGGAAAGCTAAAAGGCTCTGTGCCTGCAGCCAGCACGTCCCTCAGTGTGCGCTGATGATCTGGGACTGGAAGTTTATATACTGCCAGTATAGAGTCGGCTTATAAACAGGTCATTGGCTTTTTAACTTTTTTTTTTTAAATGTTAAATGTTTTTTAAGGGGTTTGCTTATGATAGAACAGGCTTATGCTTGAGTATATATGTACTACAGGCAGTCCCCGAGTTATGCGGATCCGACTTATGTCGGATCCGTACTTACGAACGGGGCTTTTCTCGCCCTGGAGGACGTGGGCGGCGGGACCACACTGACGCGCCGCGGTCCCGCCGCCCGGGTCCTCCGTGGCTTTGCTCCGCGTCTCCCTGGTCTGCAGACAATTTTCGACACTTTCCAAAAAGGACTCAACAAACATTTGAACTATCTCACCCATTACCAAGATAGTTTCCCCAATTATCACCTCTAATACCATTAACTCACAAACATCCCACTCTTCCTACCTCTAATATCAATTCACAGACACTTACCTTCCTTCCTCCCCCCCCCCCCTGCATCCCCCTCCTGTTCTGCAATGTGATTTGTCCTTTTCATATTTGTTCATTTTTTTTAATTGTATCCTTTGGTATATATGGTTGTGACTACTTTCTTCCACTAGTTGATCTGAGGAAGTGGGTCTGGCCCACGAAAGCTCATCATCTAATAAACCATCTTGTTAGTCTTTAAAGTACTACACTGTCCTGCATTTTGCTTCAGCTACCCCAGACTAACACGGCTACATCTCTGTCACAAGTTTTAGGGAGTGAGAGTTTCGACTCAAAATGGTTCATTAACACATTCCAACCGCTCATCATCTTCTGGCTTTTTTCTCACATTGGTGAAAGTCAGTTCACTCACTGGTGTACGTGCAACGAGGAGTAACGGTAGTTCGGAATAGGAAGCCTAGTCCGAACTACCTAGTCCGTGTCGCGTGTAGCCGGTGGCACGGAGTCCGCACTAGCGGACATTTAAAAATGGTGGCGCCCGGCAAGATGCAAATGAAGCCCGGGAAATTCAAATCTACATTACCACCTACATTACCTACATTACCACCCTAGTTCGAACTAGGGTGGTAGTGTAGACATACCCTCAGAGATCTAGTAGGTTACAGTGTAGATATATGAATGTGTGAGGAATTATCCTGCTCCTTTTATGGCTATATTTACTCTAACAGCAGTAGGTTCACCAAAGATGTCACTTGTAAAAGCAACGTGTTTATAATTTTTATACTGTAACATAATTATGGCATAAAAATTGCATTGAGGGCCACTTCTGGTAAAATACATTTTCCTCTTTAAATTACAATTTAAAAATATTTCCTAAGAGTTTCCAGAAAAATCGTAACATTTAAAATTAACTAATTCTAGACAATAGATATTTGATTGCTTGAGAGGTATTTGAATGTATGTACAGCCTACATTTTGTTTAGGTAGGGAAATAATATATATGTAATGTCTTTCTTTTACAGTAGAGGTAGTTAAAAAGATGTTTTCTTTTCCATTTATCTTATTATTGCGCTTTTTCTCCTCCTCAGGACCATCTCCTTCTGTTTTAGAGTATCTGTCAGGAAAAGACAGAGAGAGAATCAAAGAAGTGAAACAGGCAGCTGAACAACAAATGAAAATACAAACTTTCTCTCAGCAATCCGTGAATAGGTCCTCCTCGTCAGATGGTGCTCATCACAAGTGGCAAATGGTGTTGGGAGGGCAGATAGCCATACCTGGTTCTAGTGATTTCAAACCATTTGCAAAAAATCCAGAAAAACAAAAAAGATATGAAGATTATATAGAGAGTCTTAAACAAGGACAGAAAGGTAACTAGGAAGTGGTCATGAAACTCTTCTTTATTTCTTTTATTTGGAAACAATATTTCTGCAACTTTTATTCATTGTTTCTTTTTAAGTGTTTCACAGGCTTGATTCCAAAAATGTTTACATGCTTTTCCTTCTTTTTTCCAGAGTCCCTAATCTCGTAAAATGTAGGCATATATATAATCTAGGGATGTAATAGTATAGTCGATTAACTGATTAACCAATATGCAAAGACTTATGCTATAGACTACACGTATTTCCTCCCCACCCCTTGCCAGTACATTTTTTTTAACAGGCTGGCCAGCAGCTCAGCTCAGACCCGGCTTGTTCTGGATCCTGGACCTATCCCACTGCGGCTCTGCATTTAAAGTGTATTGGGAGCAAGGTGGACAGGCAGCCCAACTCAGTTCTGGCTCATGCCAGGTCTGGGAGCTCAGACACTCCCCTCCCCCCCTGGACAGGGGCTGCCCAGGAACTATAGAATAGCTGATTAACCAATACAAATTCATAAGATTAAGTGACCATTCAATTAACCAATATTTAACATCCCCAATATAATCCCATTGACTTCAGAGAGACGAAGTCAACATATTAAATTGTTTGAAAGATTGGGCACTTTGATAATACTTATCTTAGTTTCTCTCATCTCCCCTCATAATGTAGCTCTTAACCTCACAGACTAGTGGTTCTCATCCTTATTCTTTCTGAGACACACTGCAGTGTGCTATAAAAGCTCCTAGCCACCTGTGCTACAACTGGTTTTCTGCAGATAAAAGCCAGGGCAATTGCCTGGAGCCCATTTCCTGTCTTTACAGAGTCCATAAGGTCCCCCTTACTAAGATAAAAGAAAGTTCAGAATCAGAAGCTTTAACCCACCTTGTCTCCGAGATGGAGGCAGCTCACATTTCTGAGTTATTATTTCAGGCTCTGAAGACTTGGCTAGCCACTACTATATCAGGTACATTTAGTTCGTATCTCTGCAATCATTAGGGCTAAAAACATTTTAATTGAGTGTCTGGAGCCCAATTCTACAGAAAAGGATGACATTTATGGAAAAGTCAGTGATTAATGAATTATAGAATACCTTGAACCCTGTTTTTAATTAATAAAAACTTTCCTCCATTCCTTCCATGTACTGTTTTTTCTAATTACATTTTTAATTGTAAATCCACTACTTTGTCTTACAACAAGATAATTATTGGGAATATTAGAACTTTAATCCTGTTTTGGGGTAGGAAAGGAGAATGGGAAACCCAATGTTTTTCTTTTAAAGCAGTTACTTGTGCTACATTGGAAATGTTGCTTCTTTTTATTAGTCAATAATCTAACTATCTTGAGAGAAACTACAATCCTAAAGAGAGTAATTTATCTGCTCAGGACTTAAGATTGTTGCTTTGTATAAAACAGATCAACTTAAGTATCAAACAGGATGAAAATGCAGGAAGTCCTGAAATAATATGGAAGGTCAAAACATTCAGAAGCTCAGCTTGGTGTTAATTCTATTCCTGTCTGCTCTAGAAGAAAATATGAACCAAAGTCTGTTCCTTGTAAACAGAAAAGGATTATTTTTTTAAAAGCTTCTTGGCATGTCCATATTTGCACGTATGATCATGCACATAGTATGCATCCAAAAAGCCAATTTGAATCCTCAGTGTAGGTCTGAAGTTTATTAGGAGGCTCACGTACTTAGCATTTTTACCTTTACATTTGAAGCATTTTGTTGGAGTTTTGTGTGTGTGTGTTTTTTTTTTTTTTGGGGGGGGGGGAGGTATGGAGCATTTCATATTGTGTATATTCCAGTGCATTAGAGCAGTGAGTTAGACATCATCAGTACAGTAATGGATTGGGTAAATGAAATAGCTGTCGTTCATTTAATAAAGATGGTCATTCTGACAGAATCTTGAGCAATCATCCCTGGTTACTGAAGAATAGTATATCCAGCAAGACACATGGGGTTACCCTTCTTATTTATTTCTGAAGTTTTCAGCACCTTTATATTCAACTATGTACTCATCGGACCCTTGTGGAGATGAGCTTGGCTTCTGGAATTATTTGAAAGAATAACACAATGAGTTAAACCTACATGCAAGTTAGTGTATATTATACATAGAGATGCTAAGTATTTCTGTCCTTTTAACTTGCAGTAGATACACAAGAGAGTCGTTCAGATCCAGGGATGACAGAATGGGAGCGAGGAAGGGAACGAGAGGAGTTCTTCAAAGCAGCAGTGCTCTACAAATCCTCCAACTCAATCCTGTCATCAAGGTTTACTCGGGCCAAGTATGAAGATGATACTGACAAAGTGGAAGTTCCTCGAGACCAAGAGGTTCATGCTCTTAATCATCCTGCATTGTGATTACCTGTGTTAACTCTGAATAGCACAATCCAATTTATTTGAAACATCTTTGTAGAAAATAAATGTTATAATTTTCTATTGCTTTAGGTTTCTTTTGGTAGTGATTAAGAAACCAAAAGGTAATCTACAATACTATTCTCACAGAGTAGTCAAGTATTTGTGGTTTAAGGTCACTAAATGTTGACACTATTACTATAATAGCAGAATTTCAAGAAGCTGATTATATCATGTAGAGGATTTAATCAACATTTGAATTTTACAGACAGATATTGATGACAAGGAATCTGCAGTGAAGATGAAGATGTTTGGCAAGCTCACAAGAGATAAGTTTGAGTGGCACCCTGAGAAGCTACTGTGTAAAAGATTTAACGTTCCTGATCCCTACTCTGAGTAAGATAATGAAATATCTTAATGCTTTCAAAATAATTTTAATTCTTCTAAAATTTGTGTTTATGCAATGCTTGTGCAAAATGCTAGTTTGACATCTCTGGAGGCTGATACCCTCTTTATCTTCAGAATAGATGCAACCCAGAACAGTAGGCAAGCTTTCTTATGGTATCTTTCCAATTTTCTTTTTACTCAAATTTGGAGATACTTTGAAAGGAAATAGGTGATCCTCTCCCCCAGACCATAGTGGAAGCACCTTTGTTAGGGTTTTTAAGTGTTAATAGCTGTTTCATGGACTTCGCTTGTTTTGTAGATAATTTAAGCCTTCATTTTCCAGTATTTTCCATCATCCCATCATTAAAAACAATGATTGACCAAAAAATTCATTTTCCTCTAGTTCATCGATTGTTGGGTTACCCAAAGTGAAACGTGACAAGTATTCTGTATTCAATTTCTTAACTCTGTCGGAATCTTCCACGACAACCGTAACTCAAACAACTGAAAAAATGCCACAGAATATCAATCCTAACAGTAAGTGGGTCACAATTTTATTAGTATAATCCCAGTAGTTAACAAGTACAGGCAGTCCCCGACTTACGCGGATCCGACTTATGTTGGATCCGCAGTTACGAACGGGGCTCGCCCCGGAGGACACGGACTGCGGGACCTCGTGGTCCCTGCCGCCCGTGTACTCTGGGGCTTTCTCCGTGTCTCCCTGGTCTGCAGACCAGGAAGACTCGGAGCAAAGCCTCGGGGAAGCCACTACAGCAGTTCATGATCAATTATTTACAAATTATTTACAAATACTTGCTTTATCATTACACTTCCTACTTTAAAAAAATTAAAATTAGATTCTCTGTATTGGCCAGATTCTCAGCTGGTATAAAAAAAATCAGTACAATCTATCCCTATATGTGTAGATTTACTTGAGCTGCACGTTGGTATTTTCACATTCCATAATAATTGTAAAAAAATATTGATATACAGGCAGTCCCCGGGTTACGTACAAGATAGGGACTGTAGGTTTGTTCTTAAGTTGAATCTGTATGTAAGACGGAACAGGCGTCCAGATTCAGCCGCTGCTGAAACTGACCGCCAGTTCTGACTTACATACAGAATCAACTTAAGAACCCCAAGCGTCCCCAAGTCAGCTGCTGCTGAAACTGGTCAGCAGCTGATTCCAGGAAGCCCGGGGCAGAGCAACTCTGCCTCAGGCTTCCTGTAGTCAGCGCTGGTCAGTTTCAGCAGCAGCTGACTTGGGGACGCTTGGGGTTCTTAAGTTGATTCTGTATGTAAGTCAGAACTGGCGGTCAGTTTCAGCAGCGGCTGAATCTGGACGCCTGTTCCGTCTTACATACAGATTCAACTTAAGAACAAACCTACAGTCCCTATCTTGTACGTAACCCGGGGACTGCCTGTATATCAATATTTTTTTACAATTATTATGGAATGTGAAAATACCAACGTGCAGCTCAAGTAAATCTACACATATAGGGATAGATTGTACTGATTTTTTTTATACCAGCTGAGAATCTGGCCAATACAGAGAATCTAATTTTAATTTTTTTAAAGTAGGAAGTGTAATGATAAAGCAAGTATTTGTAAATAATTTGTAAATAATTGATCATGAACTGCTGTAGTGTTTTAACATAAAGCTAATTAACTATGTTGATTGGGATCTTGTACCATTTTTAGAGCCAAAGAAACCATCAAGATGGGATGTATCTGACAAAGAAAAGAAGAGAAAGGATTCTATTAGTGAGTTCATAAGTCTTGCTAGATCAAAAGTTGAAAATCAGCAGCAACTACCAGAATCAACAAAAGAAGAAGCCAGAAATAGAACAAAAGAACCCCTTACCAATAAGGTATAAAATCCCCAAAGATTTAACATTTTCAGTAACAATTGTGCTATTGTACATGGCTCTTCTTTGGTGTTTTGAAATGCCTTTCCTTGTGTATGGACAGAGTCACTAGTAGCAGCTTGTGTGGGTGAGAAAAGATGTGCGCACTTGGGACCAAGCTGTACCCTCCAGCTGTAGAAAAGAGATTATTTTCTACAACATGTCTCTTGTAAACCATGAGTTCTAACCCCCGCTCAAAAATGTGATTTAAAAACTCCACACCCCACCTGTGTCACAACTGGTTTTGTGCATATAAAAGCCAAATCTTGCGCTAAGGGATAGCAAGCAGGGCAGTTGCCCAGAGCCCTATGACATTGGATGCCCCAGAAAGCTAAATTGCTTAGGACCCTGGGCTTCATCCCTGTGCAGCAAGATTTAGGCTTTCTATCCTAGGCACCTGCAAGTCTAACACTGATCCTGGTTGCCAGACCCCCTAAAACCTGCTGTGGCCCCCCCATGGGACCTATGGTTGAGAACCATTATCCTATTGAAGCTCCTCAACTGGCGCTTTACAAATAGTGGGTTACACAAATGGAGAGGCAGCAGGCCCAGGGCAGATCTAGCTGCTCTGTAGCATTGTACATGCACATATGTACACTAGGGAGAACTTCCTGACTTTGGCTCTAACTTACTCATGTTCCCATTTTGGGGGCTTAACCTTCCACAGCTATGAAAGATGAGCGGTGATAAGAGGGTCCTGGTCACCAAAGTTCCCACAGCAGCATGTTGTCAAATAGTTGAGGAAACTAGGTGGCAATGTGAAGGCACCAGTCAAATATAAGACGCAATGTGTGGATGTAGGTGCTGCATGAGTTCTTTGACCTGAAATCTCCCTGTCATGGGTGGTGGGAAGACCAACTCCAATTTTGCCCTCTGCTCAAACAGAAAAGTGGGGGAGAGGGACTGCAACAGTAAACGATAAAATTTCTAGTTTTCTACATGGGAAAACATATTATACATTGATAGGGAACCTAGGATATTGCCATGAAATTATTTAGCATCGAAACACTTTGTATTTTTTTCACATCATTTTGCCCTAGAATTGCCTATATACAACACATACTTTTAATATCAGCGGTTTTCAGCCTGTGGTCATGTGCTGCTGGTGGTAAATGAGGAGTTGGCTAATCTCAGGATGTCAGCAGTCTTCTTCATTTCAAAAGCTTCAGGGGGTATCCGAGTTAGTCTGTAACTTGAAAAACTTAAAAAACAACAAATAGTCTTGCAGCACTTTAGAGACTAAAAAACATTTAGATGGTATCATGAGCTTTCATGGACCTAACTCACTTCTTCAGATTAATGGAGTTATTAAAAGTCCAGTTTCTAAATACGGGATTGGAGGGGAGAAGGAAAAAGAATAGTGAAAAAGGGGGGAAGAAATAGTCAATTAGTGTCCATACTACATGAAGGTGATAGAGAAGCTTTTTGTTTTAGTAAGACAGCTAAAAACAGATAAGCAAGTTGGTGTTGTTGCCTCAGGGATATGTGGTAATGAATAGGAGGAAACGTGGTGCCTAAGGATGTGAAAGACTAGTCGCTTTATAGGGGGAGAATAAGAGGGTACTTCAAAGTGGCAGCACCGCACAGAGCCTGGGGTTAGCTGTTCTGTGCGGCGCTGCTGCATTGCATGTCACATGGAGCCCAGTGTCAGGCTCCTCGCAGCATTTCAAAGTGGCAGCGCTGCGTGGAGCCTGGGATTAGCTCTGTACGGCACTGCCATTTTGAAACACTGCTGTGGTGTTTCAAAGTGATAGCAAATCATGGAGCCCGGAGTCAGCGGGGAACTCCCCCGCTGCCCCGGGCTTTGGTGCTTTCGCCTTTGAAGTGTAGCAACAGCCCTAGGGGCACCCTATCAACTAACTGAATAGTCAATGCAAAAATGCACCAACTATTCGATTAGTCAGTTACCTGACACTTAACAGCCTTAGTGGTGCCCACATCTAGAAGTTGGAGAAGAAGTGGTGCAAATGGCAGGAGGTGAATGAGGGAAGAATTCTTGCTTTCTATGGTGTCTCAGAGGGGTAGCTGTGTCTGCAACTAAAACACGTAAACAGTGAATGGTCCTGTAGCATCTTTGAGACTAACCTAAACAATATAGATAGTTTTATGAGCTTTAATGGGCACAACCCACTTCTAGAGGAAGAAGTAGGTTGTGCCCACAAAAGCTCGTAATACTATCTATATTTTTGGGTTAGTCTCAAAGGTACTACCGGATCATTCTTTTTTCTTTTTATTTTTTTTATAGAGAATGTATAGTTCAGATGAAGAAAAGTACTTGTATTTCTATTTCTTGCTCTTTTACTGAAGAAACAAAACAGGAAACTGCATGCATATAGATCTTTATATAAAGTAGGAAATTTTGTTTTGCTTGAGTACTATCTATTGAGAGGAATGTGAGTCTTATATGTGGGAACGAATTGTGAAGACCTGTAGATCCAACCATGAGAAATTACAAGGATTAACAAAAAGTGCACAAAGTGGGTAGTTACCATAAATAACAGTTGCCCCTTTTGCTCTTGCAGTTTTAGCAAATATGCTGATGGAGGCTATTTGAAAATGTGGCACGAACTGTGAAATTTGCTTGAGAGTTAATGATTTTAGTTTAGTAGTATAGTTATTTTGTATGCATTAACTAACATAGGTCAGTTTCATATTTGCCATTTAGGTTTATTGTGAATTGACTTGGGAGTTTGAGGAACATTTAATAAAGGGCATGGTATTTACGTTTTGGAAAGAGTATGCAAGCCTCTGCATTGACTTCTGAAGATCCAGATACTCATGGATACAAAGCAGATAGCCATACATTTGTAGGCTTCTAGATACAAAATGTTTCCGCATCCACATTCATATCCACAAAAATGAGCTGTGGATATCTGCATCCATATCTGCGGGTGCGGATACCCATGGATATAAAGCAGATATCCACAGATTTGTAGGGCTCTAACAGGAAGTACTTCCTGGCGGAAAGCCGCACACCAACTCTCAATCCAGACACCCCTCCTGCACCCCAATCCACTTCATCCCCTCCTATATCCCAACCTCTACCCTATGCTCACTCTGGAGCCTCCTCCCATACTGCAAACCCATTGACCCAATCCAGAACCTGCACTTCCTCCTGAACTTCAACTCCCTGCCCCAGCGTGGTGAAAGTGAATGAGGGTGGGGGAGAGCGAGTGGCAGAGAAGGAGAGATGAAGTGAGTGGGACAGAGCTTAGTGGAAGGAGCGAGGTAGATCCTGGGCTACCCTTAAATTCAGAAATATCTTTGGCATTAAAAAAGTTGGAGACCCTGCCCTACAGTCTTTATAATCCCTAAGTGGTCTGCAGTAGTCTAACATAAGTTGGTGCAACTCACAGTGAGCAAAGAGAAGTAGGGGATCTGTGCTTATCAGGCTTGTATGGCTGTAGCACATACTTAGGGGACAAGAGGATAGCAAGTGTAGTCAGGGATTGTGACTGTAAGAGGGATAGCAGGTGGGAGGTTAAATTCCTTCCACTACACCCACTGTTTTCCCTGGACAATGTACACTTTTCTGTGCTTTGAACCTAGACAGAGGAAGATGATAAATTCATTGCCGTGATCTTAAGCTAATGAGGTGCTTGCATTTGTTGATTTAAAAATAAAAAGAGTTAATATATTATAGTCTTTCAAATGTGCTGTTCTGACATGCATGAAAAAGGCACAGGTTGCAGTATTCTTTATGGAAAGTGACTTAATTTAGTGGTGTCTGAGCTCTGCTATTGTGTATCAACAGTTGTCAAGTTTATAGACTTCCAATGTACTGTGAAATTTGCCAATTAAAAAATCTTCAATGAAAATACCATTAAAAGTGTCAAGATACATTAATTTTATTGGGAGATTTTTCTCCTTCATCGGTGTTTCCTTTTTTTCTTATGGTCATTGTTATGTAGGTAGTTAATGAAAGCACAGATCAGGAAGAAGAAGAAGAAAGCAGACCATCTATGGACTTATTTAAAGCCATCTTTGCCAGTTCTTCAGATGAAAAATCATCATCATCATCATCTGAGGAAGATAGTGATGAAGAGGTGCATCAGCCAACTTCTGCTGTTCCAGACTCAGAAAGTGGCAGTCATGCTAATCCACCAGATACCTCTGTATCTGAGGTACAAGGTAATAGTTGATAATTTTGTTCAATTTCATGAAGTTCTGGTAACTTTGTAAGTAATTTAAAACCTTCTGAGCCTAGTAAAAAAGTGTTTTACTCCAGTCTCTCAAAGGTGCAACTCTTCTTCCCTCCAAGAAGTTACTCCAGCTTTACACTGGCGTTATTGAATGCTGGATTAAGTTCTTTCTATTTAAATATTATCTACATAGGCATAAGACAAAGGCAGTTTTTACAGATATATAGTCAAATGCATTATTTGCTAAACACAAAGAGGGATGAGGACAAAACCTATATTTCTCTAGAAAGAAACCCCCAAATTAGGTGGTTTTATACACTAGTAAAAAGGTATATGATATATGTTAAAGTATATGTATTCAATGATGAAATTTTGACCAGACTAGAAATAAGTTGAATTTGCTTTTGAATTTAATTTCTATATTTTGATATTTTCATTTAAGATAATATTGAAATGGATTTTTAAATATTACAGCAGTATAGCCGAACCACTGCATTTTTCACAGTCTGTCTACACAGCAAATAAATTGAGAGGGGGGCGACTAAGCAATCTTATTCTATCTATGAAGACTGAATAGCAGAGTATTATAGAGAGTTCTCATACTAGAAATTAAAGTAACAATATGCTAGAGTACATTTAAAAATTTACTGTGACATAGTATAAATCAAGATAACATTCTATTTATTTTAACATTTTAAGATGTTGAAAAGTCTGGGGGATAGCTGTGTTAATCTTTAACTTTAAAAATGAGTAGTCCTGTGGCATTTTAGAGAATAACAAAAATATATATAATCTTGAGGTTTTTGTGGGTAAAACCAACTGCAGATTAAAACCAACATCAGATGAGTTGGACAGGATCTTGTATCTTTAATTTTAAAATTGGCATGTTTGCTTACTTGCCAATTCGGAAAAAAGGCAATATGAAATGGATCTCTTCATAATTAGTGCCAATTAATCTATTTAGAGCAAATGGCTGATGGAATGATAAATTCCTAAATAACCTAACACCCATAGTCAAACTTAAGGTAGCCTTTATTTTATAGTAAAAAGATCAATTTATGTATACTCTTTAATTTGGAAACTTTTCAGACTTCTAGATCTAAAATCACCTATTCTTACCATATCTTCAGCACTGTAATTTTGCCTAATTATTGAAAAATGTACACAAGTCTGTTTTTGCCCTTAAATTACAGATTAATTTGATAATTTCAGACAACATGTATATAAATATTTTTATTTTTAATTTTGATTTAGAAATCAGCAGCACTGTGATTAAATATTTCATGATCCTAGCCCAGGGCTATTTAACTTTGGAAACCCCGGGGTCCACAATGATACTCACAGCACATGCTGAGGGCTGCAACTTAAGTGAGGTTGCATGTACATGCAAATATATATGTAAATAGCTTCTTTCACACTGATGGTCATGAATACAAAGCACTTCCCACAAAGCACTGGCATTCCCAGCACCTCCTCACATGGTGCTAGAAACGCAGAAACCCCTATACCTGTCTGTTTCAGCCAGCCTGGACGCTTTCAGTGCTTACTCCATCTGGGAGACATCTCATTGTTGTGGAGTGTGTTCCCAGTGGAGGCCATGTTCAAAGGATCCCTCCCGTGGGCCACGTGCTTAGCCTTGCGTAATACCAAACTGCCTCACATTCCGCAAACAAATGGGCCGCAGGCCGCATGTTAAGTAGCCCTGTCCTAACCAATGCAACCAATCTTTGAAATGCACAGGAAGGTGCAAAAGGAAAAGCATCAACTCTTCTTTGTTGATAAAGATTTTAAAAAGTTAAGGGGTTGTGTACAAAAAAAGGTTAAGAAATTATATAATGATGTAATTAATGCAAGTCCTTTTTTAAAGAATGTGTGTCATTATCGGAGGCTTCTGAGGATCCCAGTAATCAGAAATAATGGTTAGAAGCACCTTCTGCTTCTTTGAAAATCTGAACTGCAAAATCTAAACAAGCATGCAAGATTCATTAACTTATCTTCAATATTTTATTTTTATGGCATGTTTTCTCAGATGTCTTGGGTAGGGAGAGTTCTTTTCTCTTTTATGTTAAGTTAAAACCTATATGTTGTTTTTCTAGAAAATATGGCTGTTACAAATGAGCCTGACTTTGTGCCACCTCTTTTGAAGGAGGAGCTGAATAAGGGAGAGGAATTTGGACCGAAGTTGCCTCCAGTTTTCTTTTCTAGTAAGTATTGAAGACTTTACATTTTGTACACTGAAAACAAGTATAAGATGCTTTTATTTATTTATGTTCCCCATAAACATCTTCAAAGTTACCTCATTATCCACCTTCAAATCCCCTTCTTAGACCCCTGACTTGTCAAGTCACCAAACCCAGTATACTGAGACCACTGTCTATCATGCTAACCCATACTGTCTTATTTCCTGGTAGTCTCCAACCTCTCTGCTGTCATCTGTTGTCTTTTGTCTTTTATATTTAGAGCCCAGCAGATGCAGATATCTGCAGACCTTTTTTTTATGGATCATGAATCACCGACATAGGTGCTGAAACTAGGTGTGCTGCCACACACCTCTGCCTTAAAGTGGTTTCATATATATCCGTTTACAGTTTGGTTCAATGTCTTTCAGCGCCCCCACTATACACATTTTTCTAGCATCCCTGGATGTGGATGTAAATTTTTGTATCCACACAGGACTCTAAATAGAAGATCTGAAAGGTGAAGAAGCAGCTGTCAGTAGCTGATAGAAAAGCAACCTTAAAGGCTGTCTTCCACACCCTGTATCTCCCCTCCTGCTCACTCCCCCTTACTTATTTTGCAGAAGCAGTGGCCTCCCTTTCCTACTAGCCTGTACAGCAATAATGAAGTTGGGAGATAATTCCTAAATAGCTTGGCTGCTTAAACTAGGTGGATAAGAGTAAAGGGAATTTTGCATCCTGTTTTGACCTATCATCTCCTCCCCTTTCTCTTTATGAGGCTGAGGGGGAGGTGATAGATAAGAAGCAGCTGCTTCTCTGCCTTCCAGATCCTCATAGGCTATGAGCTGTAGACAGTTGCTTGCTCACATACACACTGTCTCACCAATGCTCCTCCTGAGAGACACTTTAGCATGTTGCTGCAGATACACTGTGACTCACAGGTCAGCTATAAGTTGATTCTTGTGCATGCAGATCCATAATATATCTGTAAAGTTCTACTTTTTGTTTAGATTTTTAAGTCCCTCGGGGTAGGGACCATCATTTGTTCTGTTTGTACAGTACCTAGCACAACTAGGTCCTTGTCTACGACTACAGTAATGTAGATGAGGCTAATTTTTTTTAACTGTTTGATTTTCAGAGGGAAATATATTGACTGGAATTTGATTTGCAATTAGGTACAAGGTGGGACTTCCCTGGTCTGGCACCCTTGAGACCTGAGCAGTCCCAAACAGAGTTTTCCAGACCAAGGGAGGTAAAAGCTCCCCTTCTGGCTATTGGCCCTTCTCCACACCACAGGCCTGCTGTCCTCAGCACTGCTAGGCTGTGCTTGCCACCCGGGGTGGGGCTAAACTCCCCAGCACACTGACTCTAGCTGAGGCTGTGTTCTCACCACTGACCTGGGCTGTGCTCTCGGCTCCAGTCCGGGTTGCACTTCCGGGCGCTGACCCCATTGCCTCTGGCTGACTCATGCAGGACTGCGCTCCCTGCTGTGCTAGCTCAGCCTAGTCTGTGCTGCCAACCCCCATTGGCCCCTCTGCCTCCAGCTGTGGGGGGCTGCGTTCCCTGCTGTGCTGGCCCTGCTGCCATAGGGGCGGTGCTCCCTGCCGCCAGCCCCAGTGCGGGTTGTGCTCCCCACATGATGGCCCTGCTACTAGCTGAAGTGCGCTTCCCACCACCAGCCCAGCCCCTTAATCTGGCCAGCTAGGGCTCTTTGGTCCAGCAATATCTGTGGTCCTTACGGACCATGGATGTTGCCGGACCAGAGGGTCCCGGATTTTAGAAATGTAACCTGTACCATACAGACATAGATATTCCAGTGAAAGTGAATGTGCAGCTGTCCCTATGCAAGTAGAGATGTTATAGGTCAACAAGTAGATATCTGTTTATATACACATTACACCCCCATACACATACATTTTTTTAAAAATTTGGCTATCAGTTTGTGCTCATGTTGAAATGAATGTGTAGTTATTTTTTTCTGTACCCAGAATCAGACCTTTTAGATCTTTTAAGTAGGAGGATATATACTGTTGCCATTACCTGGTAAATGTTGAATAGACAGGATTTTTTTGCTGTTGTTTTAATCCTGTTTGTTTAACCATGTTCAACAGATTTAAAGTGAATAACGTGGCATTGTTCATCTCTGGGAACTTGCACGCAGGTTAAAGATATGACGAATATTTAGAATATAACTTCAATTTATATTCAGGTCCCTTTGCAAACTAAAAACACTGGGGTCCTTCATTCTTCTCTCCAGCCTCATATATACCTGTGTACATTAGGATCCACTAGCCCAGACTTATTTGCCTGTGCAGATGCCCACTGATTTCACGGGGGCTTTACATAGACTCAAATGTCAATGTTTAACAGATTCTGATGCAAAACAGGGGCTAAGGCTGAATTTTTTTTTCTTCACCAATATCTGATTGCAAAGGTATGTCTATCGAGAAGTTAAAATATTTGGAATTGGGAGTCCCAAATCTCTTATGTAACTCTGAAAATCTCAACCCATATATTAGGGAATTAAAATTGTGCATAGTTGAATATTAATGTTTGTCTTGGTTTTTATTTGTTTTTATTTCTCTATATTTGATTTTTTACTTTAGAGACTACTCAGAAGCCTGAGTCAGTACTTCTGTCAAGTTCTCCTGAAGTCAATAAGAAAGAGAAACATAAAAAGAACAAAGAAAAATACAAGGCTAAGAGAGAGCACAAACATAAAAAGGAAAAGGTTAGGGTAAATAAATTGGTTCTTTCTTTCTTTCTTTCTTTCTTTCTTTCTTTCTTTCTTTCTTTCTTTCTTTCTTTCTTTCTTTCTTTCTTTCTTTCTTTCTTTCTTTCTTTCTTTCTTTTCAAGTGAAAACTGCCAGGATATATGCTAGATCAGTGTTTCTCAACCTTTTTTTTTTTTTTAAAATTATAAGTGCCCCCAGTACCTGCAGTTTTCATACTCTTTCTTTCTTTCTTTCTTTCTTTCTTTCTTTCTTTCTTTCTTTCTTTCTTTCTTTCTTTCTTTCTTTCTTTCTTTCTTTCTTTCTTCTGATTTCCTAAGTCAAGTGAAAACTGCCAGGATATATGCTAGATCAGTGTTTCTCAACCTTTTTTTTTTTTTTAAAATTATAAGTGCCCCCAGTACCTGCAGTTTTCATACACACACAATTTTTTTCTACCATTGCAACACTTTTGTTTAAACAGCTTAATCATAGATGGGTGGGCGATGACATTTTTTAGTGTAAAAAATACAAAAATAATAAAGCGCTGTAAAACTTAAAACAAAAATTCAGTTTTCTCCAAATTTCAGTTGTGTTGACATACCTCCCAGACTTCTCTCGAGTACCCCTAAGGGTACTCATACCACTGGTTGAGAAACACTGTGCTAGATTATGGAAAACAGAAATCAAGTTGGGCTGCTTGAACACTCTCCCTTAGCAGTTCTAGTTAAGCTAACATATCTTCAGTTCTAAACAGGGTGTTGCTTGTTCTTTATGTGCCTATGGACCATATGCATAATTTGCTTAGATACTGCATAATGCTGTAAAAAAACAAGATACATTATGATGATAAAGCTTCTAAATATGTTAATGTAATTTACTTGGTCCTTGCTTTCTAGAGACTAGGTTTATAAGTGACTCACTGCTTGACTACTCACACCTCCCCCCGCCTCTATATCAGAGGCAGCAAGCTGGAGAAGCAGGAGCCAGTGCTTGGGGAGAGACAGCTTACCCCTGCTGCTGGTCTGCCTTTTAAATGTAGTAAGAGCCATCGAGCTCTTACTACATTTAAAAGGCAAGAGGTACAGTGGTCCAGAACTCCATGTGAGCTAGGACTGCTCATGCCTGGCTCACAACAATTTACCCCTGCTTCGGGTCTTCAAGTTAAATGTAGTAGGAGCTGAGCTGCCTGTGTGCCCTGCTCATACTACATTTAAACTGCAGAGCTGCAGCAGAGGTAGCTCTTGGACTCCACCGGCTCTTATTTACTAATCGTGTACTTGATACAACTTGTATCGACTATACGATTAATCAGTTACCCGCTTCTTAACATCCTTACTTAGAGACATTGGCTTCTATTATTTAAAGTTTACACAACTGAAAATGTGTAAGTACTATTGTTATTGCTCTGCTCCAGTTAACTTTGGAATTTAACCTGTATATAAACTGTTTCCTGTGATCCCAGTTATTCTTTTTTAGTGACCTTTGGTTTTAATTTGACTGACTTAAAAAATACATGACTAGCAGACTCAACTATTTCTTTTTTTAACAGAAAAAGAAACATAAGAAGCACAGGCACAAAGGCAAACACAAGAATAAAAAATCAGAGAAAAGCAGTAGCTCAGATACTGCTGATAGTAGTGACAGCCTTAGTGATGTGGAGAAGATCACAAATTTGTCACCCCAGGAATTTCTACAAAGGTAAACAGATAATTTACTGAGATCTTTATAAATCTGGCAGCAGTAATGGGCCATAGTCTCACTAGTGTAAATTGGTGTAGTCCCACTTAAGTCAGTACAATATGTTTGTGTCTAGAATATAGATAGCTTTTTGTTAATCAAGTCTGAAAAGATAACTTATTTTAGGCTTTTGGATTTAGATGTGCCATTTGAGGACTAGTGTTAAGATAAAGTGCTACAGGAAAGAGAGCATTAAGCAGCTAATTCTACAGCACTAGATAAGGAAAGTTAATTTGGAAGAGATCTTAGTGTCATTGTAAATTGCTATAAATGGAAATAAATATTGCGTAGATAAGACAACTACAAATGATGAGAAGTGTTGCTGCTATATCTTTTCAGAATATTTAGTCAAGTTTAACAAAAATGTAACCCTCCCCTGGTAACTATTGGTATTGACTGATAGATTTTAGGGAAGTAAAATCCTGGTGAATCAGTTAACTGGTTAAAGGTTGTTTAATCTGTTAACAACTGTTTTTAAACGGGGCATGGTGGGTTGCTCCAGCTGAGCAGGGGGGACTGGGCCAGCTGGGCTGGAGCAGTTTTCTGCCCGTGGTAGGCTGGGGGCTTCTAGCCCCATTGGGCCACAGGTTAACCAGTTAACCACTGGCATCCCTAATGGATTTTTAGAATACAAAATAAATTGTCTGGCTAAAAGCCTTCACAACTGAATGACCCAGCTTCAGCAGGTGCAAGGTGTTAGGCTTCTTTTGGTTCACAGTCTGGGCCTATCAGTATCACACCTTTCCCTGCTTGCTGGATCTGTTCTTGAGAATTGGCAATTTACTGAAGGTTAACAGCATTCTGTGCTTGAATACAAGGTTCCTGTAAGTCAGTAACCTGCTGGGTCTAATTCAGCATTCCAGTGGACTAATTTACTTTTAATTGCTTAAAAGAGCAAAAATAAATGATTGAATTCAGATTGAAGTTTGAGAAACTTATTAATTCTTGTTAAAGTGATTAAATGTACCTGTTGCTGTTGTGTATATCTATTAAATATGGCCTTTTATTCCAGGCTGAAATGCCTTCCTGCAAGAAAGCAGTAACTTGTTTCTTCAATGCTATATGACTTTTGATCTGAAACTTTGATTTCCTCCATGATGGAAGATCAGTAATGTATAAATTGCACTGTAAATGTTGTATTTATGCTGAACATATATTTGAAATAATAAATTTATACATTTGTGATGTTTTATCATTTTGAACCTTATGAATTATGGGATGTTGGAAAGATACTTTTGATAATGCATGCTAGCAATAAAAAAACAGTAATAGCTTAGGTGCTAAATTTATTTAATGTGAGGGCTATAGGTAGCAAGGACACATGAATGAAAGTAGGATTTCTCCATTTCACCCCTATGTTTTACTTAAAGGTTGACTCAAAATAGTGACTCCTTGGCTGACTTCAGATATTTTAATAAACTATATATTACAAATTTGGTATTTCTGGTCTGTTAAATCATTGTGTGAAAGTTCTTAAAACATAAACAAGAATGTAAGTCCGTTCTGAAGGAAGTGAAGCCAGGAAGTTAAAAAGGCATAATTTACACAAAGACAAGTCATTCCATGTCTCTCTTATATAGATGTCCAGAATGTAGAATTTCTGTGTATTTCTAAATGTGATAATTTGCTTTCCAGACTTTTTGTCTTAGACAAAATTACCTAAGACAAATTCTATTACCCATCACCATCATATAGCTTTTTCAATAATTTAAACTGTTTGATGCAAGCTAAAATAGCATTACAGTACTGGATTATCTTGAGCACTACTTACATAAATTCCATCATTCATTATCAGCATTATTCTACATTCATGTTTAAAATTAACACAAATGTTATGTTGAAAAACCCAAAGATTCTTCAGATGTTCTTGCTTGCTGGGTACAGATCTGTGCTGTATAATACACTTAAAAGGAGGCTGAAATTTCATTTAAAAAGTACATATTAGTCTATAAAGTCCTATTACATTTACAGGGTTGTTTGATGTGCACTGTCTGAACTCCTTGAATGGAACAAGTTGTTAAAACAGCTCATCATGATTTATTATGAGACTAAAAAAATGTTATCCATTTGCAATTGCTAACAAAAACATCAAACAAGCTCAAGGTTGTAAATGATACTCTTGTTTGGGCTACTTTAAAAAAGCAGTAAATTTTTGACATTGACAGTCTCTTTAGTAGTTCATTAGATTTACAGCAACATGGCATAGGGGAGAGAGTTAGTAACAAATATGGATTTGAAATGCTGTCAGGATTACAAGAAGGAGAAAATGAAGGAGCTGAATAAGATTAACTAAAAAGCAGCAGAAAACTCTCTTAATTATAATAAACATATTTTGGTAGACTACTAGTAGTACAGTATTATTATGAACATTAGTGCCTCAAGTTCTGGTTCTTTCAGAAGGCAAAAAGGCTCCTGTTAAATCAAACTCCATTTCTCAATCCTTTCCATTTAGAACAAAGATTTACTTTTTACCAATTATTTAAAAAAATCAAGTCAAAGTTAAAAAGCCATTGCTTCTTTTTAAATTTGCTAATATGACACATTATTTGTTTATATTTTTCTTTAATCCTGTCAAATTATACTAAACTTAAAAATGTTTTGCCTGTGCATTTGATAGCACTTTGTATAATCATTATTTTTTTTTATATACAGGCAGTCCCCGGGTTACGTACAAAATAGGGACTAGAGGTTTGTTCTTAAGTTGAATTTGTATGTAAGTCGGAACTGGCTCCAGATTCAGCCGCTGCTGAAACTGATCAGCTGCTGACTACAGGAAGCCCTAGGCAGAGTTGCTCTGCCCCCGGCTTCCTGGAATCAGCCGCTGATCAGTTTCAACAGTGGCTGAATCTGGAC